GAGAACAGAGGAGAATGGGGGCTGGGAAAGGGGTCCCCGCATGTTGGGAGCTTCAGTGTCCTTTGGAAGTTGAGGTGTCACTTTATCTGCAGCCAAACAAGGAAAGAAAATGTTCATGCCAGGGAAAGCAGAAGGGCGCACATACACATGGTCCTAAGGGTGAGGCAGTGGGCAGGGTGGGTTCTGCCCAGGCCTCTTGGGCACCAGGACAAAGAAGGAGAGAGTCTGGAGGCCAATCCCTGGTGATAGCGAAGGAGGGATCAGGCTGGTCCTTTCGGAGGATGACCCCCGCCCCACCAGCCCCAGAGACTGCCCTCCCCCGGGGCACCCCCGACACCTTCTGGAGGGGTGCAGCCTTGCAGAGTCCCACCTGTCCCCCTAGGGAGCTGCCATGGCTCTCGTCCAGCTAGCACGGCCCCTGGGGGTCTAATGATGTCCACACCACTGACCTCTGTAGAAACACAGTGGCCTTCCGTACCTGCGCGCTCTGTGTTCACCAGGCCGACCCAGCACAGGTAGAAAACACTTAGAAAAGTGAAATACATCTCTGCTGAATATCTTTTCTTCTTCTCATTATTCCCTAAATAACACACTGTAACAGCTACTTATATGGCATTTACGTTGTGGTAGATATTATACGTAATGGAGACATGATTGAAAGTCTGGGAGGAGATGTATAGGTTATATGCAAATGAAAGGAATACTGTTTTATATAAGGGCGTTGGAATCCACAGGACTCCTGGAATAAATCTCCCACAAGTACTGAGAGGCGACTGCGTGTAGACAAGCCTGGGCGGATGTACCCCACCCCCCGCCATGACCACAGCAGGACCCTGTGAGCATCTTGGGGAGGAGGGGTCAGCATGTAGACGGGCGACAGCTGGTCCTCCAGGGCTTCATTTTGAAACCAGGGGCTCAGAGTCCACGGGGGCAAGTGACTCTGCCGTGACCACACTCGCACGGGCCAGGACAGGACCCCAGGGGAGAGCAGCCCTTAAGACCTCAGCAGCGCCAGCCAGAGTGGCCTGCTGCAGACTGTGGGGTGGCCTTGGGAAAGAAGGTGGAGACCTGCTGCCTCCCCTCGGGATTGTTCTGAGGGCTAGGTGGGGCATGCAGTCTTCTATTTGAACTTGGATGTCTGCGGGGGGTGAGCAGTACTGTTCCCTTCCGAGGAGCCTCCTCTAGTGATCCTCAGACCAAACCTGCCCATGGATATGGCTTCTTTGGCCTGCAGAGTGCCAGGGACATCTCTGAAGTAAGCACCATCAAGCAGGATAGAAGCCCCCTGCCCGTCCCCTCCTTCCCCTCCGGCAGTTTCCCCTGAGCCCACCCCTCTCTCGCCCGCTTACCTTGTGCCTTGGCTGTCCACCCCCCTCACTCCGTCCCAGCTCAGGCAGATTTCTTGGGGGGGTGAATGGCTGGCGGCCCAGTGCGGCTCTTGACTTCGGCCAGTCATTTCATTGGGAAGGCCAGGACGCCCACCTCACGCCCATGCTGGCCTGGAGGGCCACCCCGCCACTCCACCGTCTCTTTAAATGAGTGTTTCTGTCTCGCCAGATGTTTCTGTGGTGGTAATTTCTCAGAACGAGTCATTGAGAGCTGCCCCTGCTGTCCTTCTCAAATAGCCGCTTCCTGATTAATTCACAGCACGACTTGCTCGGTGCCTCTGCTAAGCAGAGAGCACGTCTGGATAAACACGTAAAAGAGTGCTTTGAGGAGCGACTCTGCTGGCAGCCAGCGAACAGCAGCCTGCCGACCTGCGATGGGATGGTGCACGGTGACTTCCTGCCGTGTGCCCGGGCTGGGCGCTTCTCCACGTGGCTCCAGAATCCCAGGCAACTCAGTGGTGTGGAGGTGTGGTCAGAGCTTCCTCACCAAGCGCACGGGAAGGCGGGGGATAGAGGATGAGGACAGGTGGGCTTCTCCGGGTGTCAGGTCCCACGCAGCAGATCAGAAGCCAAAGTAGGTAGAAGCGAGCTGTGGGGGAAACCAGCCGGCCACCATCTTTCCGCTCACGTCGACTCTTACAGAGCGGATTGGGAGGAAAGCGCCTGTGTTGTTCCAAAGCAGTTGCTGACTGCTTGCCACATGCCAGGCCCTCCAACAGCATGATGGGCTCTCCGCTGTCGAGGAGAGGCCGTGGGCTAGAGAGCCGGTGGCTGAGGCCACTTCGGAGATGAAAAAACAGCGCAGTAGGGTGAAGCGAGGAGGGTGGGCTCGAGGCCAGGGAGGGCCGGGTGCCCAGGACCCAGGTAGAATGTTCCAGGAGAGTGTGGGAATCAGCTTCCTGGATCAAGGAGCCAGCAGACCAGCAGGTCATGAGGAGTGACAGGAGCTGGGCCAGAGACACAGGCCGGGCCAGACGCAGAGGCCCCGGGGGAACAGGGTTCTCCTCAGTGCCCATGAGGTCCTTGGGCAGTTTTTGGCAGGGCTTGCCATGGTCTGCCTGAAGCTGTTTTTAAAAAGACCCTGGCTACTACATAGACCCCGTGAGCAGGGGAAGGTGGAGGTGACGCTGTGGAGTCCCGAAAGCAAAGAAGCGAGACCAGTTAGGAGGCAATGGAGACATCCCTTGGAAGATGCCGCCAGCCTGGGCTGGGGCAGCAGCCTCTTCTGGAAGGAGAGGTCAGGTTGGGGAGGGTACATGCTGACAGCTGGGGTGAATGAATTTGGGGTGTCCATGGAATGCCTGGGTTTCTGGCAGCTGGCCATGTGGTAGGCCCACCTTACAGGTGAGAGGAGACTAGTTTGGGGAAAAACTAATGATGAAGATGCTTGGTAGACACCCAAGAAGGGAGGTGAGATGGTCACTCGAGGGCCAGTAGAGAAGTCACAGTTGGAGAGTCAAACCATCAGGGGCATCTGCACGGGAGTGGGGTTTGGCGGCTTAGATGTCAGCCCTGGTCCATGTGCACAGTGAAATCGGGAGGCTTGGCCCTGGCCCGGAGTTGGCCCCACCCAGAAAGCATCTGGAAAGGCAGGAGCAAAATGGAGTAGGTGCAGAGCTGTGGAGTCTGTGAACAGGGACGGTGGCCCGGCTGCTGCAGGACCCGAGCACCGAGACTCCCAGCAGCTGTGTCAGGCTGCTGGACCCTGTAATTCGCTGTCCTGAAAGGAGCCTTCTGAGAGTGAAGAGAGGGCTCGACTAGTGACTACACCAAGCCGTAGATGTACATCAGACTCATCCCTGGCAAGCAAGGACAGTCCCTTGCCCTGGTAATTAGTCCCTTGCCAGGGGGGTTCGGTGCGGAACTGGGGACAGAAGCCTAATACGAGCAAGGTCAGGAGCAAGGGAAAAGGGGGTGCAGTGATGGCTTCTCTGAGTTCTCCTGCAGGGATGACAAACACATCCTGGGGTGCCTCTATAGAATAGAATAGTCTTCAGCAATAAAAAGAAAGACAATGCTCAATTCCTGGGACTCGGGGAAATCTCAGAGTGGTTATGCCAAGCAAAAGAAGCCAGGCAAAAAGGGGTCCATAATTCATGATTCCTTCCATATAAATAGTCTAGGAAATGTGGACAATCTGTAGTGATGGCCAGCCAGCGGCTGGTAGAGTGGAGGACTCCCAAGGGTAGAGGGAAATCTGGGAGTGACGCATACTCCATTATCTTGAGGCTGGAGATAGTCCCCTGGCCCAATGGTGTACACACAGGTCAGAGCTCACCACGTTAGTTATACAGTTACTGTGTCCTGTACTTTTTTTTTTTTTTTTTTTTTCAGAACCGGGCATTGAACTCAGACCCTTGCACTTACCAGGCAAGCGCCTATTCTACTGAGCCATCTCCCCGGCCCCATCTTAGCATTGCACGGGGTGGGCGATGTTCCTGACACAGCTGGGAACAAGAAGTTTGCTGGAAAGAGAAAGAGACTGGGGGGCAGGCAGCAGGAGAAGGGGTGTGATCCTGTGTCAGGCATGAACAGGGAGCTGTGGGACAACTGCGTGTGCTGGGGGCACATGTGTGCTGGGGGAAGGAGGAGGCAGGAAAACGACAGGGAGCTTTCAGGAAGATCGCTGCATGACGCGTGGAGTGGTTTGGAATTGTCTGCCGGCGCACGCTCTCTGCGCCTACACACAGGTCTCATTTGGGAAACGTGATAGGGGTTCAGAGACTCCCTTGAAATCCCCTCCGGGCCATGGCCCTGACACCTACCTGCAACCCCTCAGCTGCAGAGAGCCGCTTCCTAGTGTGGTGACAGGGCTGTGCCTCTGCTGTTCTGACCCAGCCTGTCATAGGAATGTGACGTGTACATGTGCATGTGCAGCGGTGCCTGGACAAGCCTGCACCCTCTCAGCCTCTGGAGAGGGGCATCCTGAGGTGCATGCCACGGTTTCCATGGAGGGGCCCAGCAGGAGAGTGCCCCAGTGGCCCACGTGGCTCGGGTGCTTCTGAGGGGTTCTGCTTGCCGTGTCTTCCCGCCCACACTTCCACTTCTGACTGTCGGCCAGCTCAGCTACCTATGCTGAGTGCTTGTTTCACACTGGGCTCAGGATGCCCAAGCGGGGCTCTCCCAGAGCCCTGGGACCTACAGTTTGTGTGCGCTCAGCTTCTCTGGCATGCCTGGCCCAGCAGCTGTGCTTTAAAATGTTGCTCTGATTAGTGATGAAAAGCCATGAGGGGTTCACGAGAATGACCAGGCAGATTTGCGCCTGTAGAGAATTCACCCACGTGGCAGCATGAGGTGGGGGTTGAGCCAGGGAGGCCAGTTAGGGGGCTGTTACAAATGTCCCACCCAACAGGAGGTAATGAGGGGGACAGTGACGAGGCCAGCTCTGTGAGAGTCCTCTGGTTCCATGAGGTGTAAATGCGCCGGAACGCTCACTGCACAGAAGTGAGACTGGGACTTTTTTTTTTAACACCCCCCCAGGGCCAACACTTTATGCCGCTCACAGCTCACATTCCTAGCATTTCATATTTTTCTGCTCTGGAATCTTCTCCCAGATTTGATATATCCGCCTGATGTCACACAGCCTCATGTTGTTAAATTTTGTATCTCTAGGATCTTGACATTGGTGCCAAGAATGTGAAGCTTCGTGTCAACCGAAACCTCATCTTTGATGGTGTGTTAGACAGAAGCGTCGGGGAGGGCCCGGCAGGCCACACCATCTCCGTTGACCCCAAGAAGGAGAGCAGCGAGCAGACCAAGACCACCCTGGGTGCCCATGGGGAGGACAGCGGAGACGTCCCCGCGGCGGCGGGCGTGGGTGGGGATGAGGAGCTCCGTGTTAGCTACTCACAGCCAGCTGAAAGTGTGGTGGCTGTGAAGGTCGCTGCACAGGCGGCTTCTGCGCAGGGAAGTGTACTTGGCAAAAAGATGGATTCTGCTAACTGCGTGAAAGACGCTTGGTCCAAGTTAGAGGAAGATTTAAGATTGCTGACAGACCCGGGCGCCATGGGCGACCTGCCCAGTGTCCTGTCACACTCTCCACTGGGGACGTGCCCGCCTCTGGGCATACAGCCGTCTCTGATCCAGCAGCTCGAAGACCTCACCGGCCGGAAAATCTCTGAGCCACCCAGGAAAACCCCATGCTGGTTACAGCCCTCTCCTATGGGGAAGGACAGGAAGCAGGTGGAGAAGAAGCCCAAGCCCCTCTGGCTTGGTCCTGAGAAGCCACTGGACTGGAAGGGGATCCTCCCACCTGAAGATGCCATGCTTGGGGGTTCTGGAGACCCTGGGGCCAAGGACAGAAGCCCCCGGCAGGAGCAAGGGCGGAGGACCAGCTGGAATGTCATCGCTGGGGAGAGACCTCAGAGGGCAGTGCCCAAAGCCAGTGGTGACGACTTAGACCTCTTCAAGCAGCCCCCCAACAGGGAGCACCCTGCCAGTGGGCGGCGGGCCCCGAGGAAGGAGGCTGTCAGCGGCAATCGCGGTGATGAGCAGCCCGCCGGCAGAGGTGAGCTCCAGGCAGCAGTCCAGCTCGGGGTTGTGCTGGTGTGCTTTCTGTTGCTGTGTTTTGGAGCACGGGTTTATTTTAGTTCACATCTCAAAGGTTCTGGTCCGTGGTCAAATGGCCGTGTTGCATCCGGGCCTGCGGTGACGTAGAAACGCCCTACAGAAAGGTGTGGTGGAGGAACAGTGCTCACTTCCTGGCAGCCAGGAAGTAGAGGAAGAGGGAGAGCCAGAGCAGAAGGGGCCCAGAGGGTTACAGCACCCAGGGTTGGGCACCCCCAGCCTGCTCCCTCTAGGCCCCACCTGCCGTTTCTGTCTCCTCCCAGTCATGCCATCGGATTATGACCCCATCCAAGGATTAAGCTACACATGAAGAACCCTGTGCCCCAGTCTCCTTGCAACACATGAACCTCTCGGGGTACATTTTCCATCCAGACCCTGACCAGTGCAGGCATCCTTGTGCCTCTCAGTGGCAAGGAGCCATTCAGCTCCCTGGGTTTCAGTTTCTGCATGTGCGGAATAGGTTTCTGCTCCATGAGGGGTCGCGCACTGCCTCAGGCTAGCAGTGCTCTAAGTGGGTGAAATGGGTGGCACTCCTTGCGTGTGAACATCGTAGATGTATTTGTCCTTGCTCCGGAGGTCTGTCCCTGCCTCATTTTTCTTATAATCCAACTTTTCCAGTCTTTGTTCCTCTACCCTTGCTATTTCACATCACCCTGGACTACTGGTTATCTCACCCAGCGCTGGGCACCCCTGACACAGCCCATGCTTGCCTGGGCCTTAGGAAAGCCCTAGGGAGCAGCGAGGACTGGGACAGACCCCTCTGACAGGACAGCTGGTGTCCACTTGGGCGCCAATGGGGGTGCCAGGCCAAGATGCCACCTCCCTGCTCCCTTGTCTTCAAGGGAAGCGAGTACAGAACATATAGAACAACCTTCGTCTCAGCATTGGCAACTTATTTTTTCACAGCACATATGTGCATCAAAACAGAACAAAACCAAGAACTCAGGCATGCGGCTCCTGCTGTAATCCCAACCAAGAGGGTTGTAGCGCCCGCCAGGCAAGCACAAGCTCCTGAGTTCAATCCCTGGTACCAAAAAAAAGAAAGAAAGAAAGAAAAGGAATTTGCCAACTAAGAAGGTTGAGGCAGGAAGGTCACAAGTTCAAGGCCACCTGGACAACTTAGCCAGACCCCCCAAAAAGAAAAGAAAGCAGAGGCTCCATTTGTTGGTGGGAGTCACTGTAACAACAACCTGGTGATCTGTACAGGCACCCCCGAGTCTGATAGGAGGGTCGCTGGGATTCTGAACTTGTGTGCTCAGGTTTGGCTCCCGGGAGGGTTGCAGTGACAACATGCAGGAGTCACAGCATTCGAATCCGAATTGCTGATACAGGACCTGGCCTTGCGGCAAGGCTCCCGGCTCTCTCTGCCTCAGTGTCTCCATCTGTAAGCTGGGTGCCACCCATTCCCCTCCCCGGTGTTCTAGGAACATGTTAAGGCGGCACCTTCCAGAAATCCCACGGGCCAGCAGCCAGACCCTCAGTGCCCGGACCCCTGGGCCGCACCACCCAGGCCATGCTCGGCACCGCCTGCCTCCGCCCACACCCTGAGCAGCCTCTGAGCCACTGAGCCTCAGTCTGCAAACCTGTAGGGGGACACTGATCGTCCCCATGCAGGTTCTAGAAGAATCAGACGCGAGCACACAGGTGCAGCCGGCCCTGGCCCTAGAAGCAAACGCCCAGCAGATGTTCCTGCTGCCCTCCTTTTCCTCCCTCCTCCTCCTTTTCTGCTCCCTCCTCCTCTTCCTCATGCTCCCTCCTCCCTTTCCTCCTCTTCCTCCTTTCCTACCTGTACTCTGATCGTACCTCTTGCTGACATAGCCATGTGCAAAGCCGGTGCTTGTGCTTTGTAATGAATCAAGTCCCACCTACTCTGTCAGTGTGTGGCAGGCCCCTGAGCGGTCGCTTAGGATGCAGAGCTGCTCCTGTGGGGCCCCTCCAGCTTCTTAAAGATTTCTGCTCAGACTATAGTGAGGCCAGAGAGGAGGGTGGAAGAAAGGACAGGAGGGCACCTGGCCCACAGTGAGTCCTGTGCAGGGCAGGAGGGCAGCGTCAGCGGTGCCACAGTGGCTGGGTTCGGCCTGTTTGCAGCTAGCCAGGACCTGTCTAAGCACCCCACCCAAACGTGAGGGCTGGAGTGAGATGTGGACCCAGGCCAACCAGCTGCAGCATCTGGGCTCTGGGCCACTGTCCCTGGTGCCCTGTGACCGCGGCTGTCCTCTGCCACCATCCTGCCATGGGAGAGCCTGGCCATTCTGAGCTTCCTCGTACACAGCTGTGCCAGAGCCGCTGGGAGTTCCCGGGTGACGGGTGTAATTCTAACTTGCCCGAGTTCAGAAGACGGTCTTACAGTAATTTCCTTCTAAGCATTTCACTCCCTGGCTCAATGACACTTTAAGCACTGAGCCCTTGAGATTTAATGCTTGTTAAGCCGATCATGCTAAAAAGGATGGTTGCTTTGAAATTTTAAATTACACATTACCTAGGGCTGGGTCCCTGGGTGTTGAGGAAACATAGGCCCAGCCTTCCCCAGTGCCAGTGACGCTGGGGCGCCTGCTGCCCTGGGGCTCTGATGGCCTCGGCAGCCTCCAAGAGACTGGCAGAGGCCGCTTGTGATAACATCTGCCTCTCAGCAGTACCCTGGCCAGAGGTCAGGTGGCAGCAGGTGGCGTCTTATCAGCCCGCATGAGCTGTGGAGTGGTGAGGTGTGGAGAAGCTCGCAGACCTACTTGCCCTAAGGACAGCTGTTATTACCTGGGATGGAACAAGGCACCCGCACAGCTCCCCTCTGCCCCTCCTGGACTTCCGGGCCCACCCTGTGGCCGGTGGGCCTGCCTTTCCCCGAGATGCGCTTTCTCTGCAGCCTGTGGCCTTAGCCCGCTGCGACCCTGGCCCGGCTGTGACCACAGCAGCCAGTCCCAGCGCTCAGGGAAGGAACTGGTTGGGCTGCCTGGGTCCCGCATCCACCCCCTGCCCCTTGAGCAGTGGCTGAAGGGTGATTCGTGAGAACCAGCACAGCGCCTCCACCTACCTACGTGCTTCTCCGCTTCCCCCTTTATCAGCCGGAAGCTCGCCCCTCATAGTGCCGCGGGAGCATCTGTAAGCTCAAGCCCAGTGCTTCTGAGTTCAGATCAGGCTCAACTCGGTCATTTGGACCTCAGCCCATCCTCACATCACAAGCAGAGCTTCCTCAGACCACGCCGACTGCTGCCCTTCGAGTTCACGCTGGGAATGTGAGCCGTGGCAGGACGGGGCCCTGGACAGTAGGGAACCGCGTGTCCTCGTGTGCACGGAGACCTTGGGCTCCAGCCAGCTGGCACATCTGAGAGGCGCAGCCGGAAGGGTGCCCTTCTTTACCTTCAGTTCAGAGTGGGAACGTCAGGGAGAAGAGGTCAGCGAGCACAGAGAGCGGTGGTGGAGCCCTGCCCAGCTGCACCCAAGCGCAAGGCTTCGGCCCCAGCCCCCAGCACATCACACGTGACGCTGGCTCTTCAGAGCGCTTGCACGCCAACCCCAGCTGCTCTTTTGCATCCGAGGAAGTCGAATCACATAAACCTGGGTCACCAGTGGCGGTCCATATGGGGACCATCTCCTTCTCCAGACGTCTCTCACCTTGCGCCTGGGAGGAGAGGGCAGGGAGCTTCTGTACCCTTTTTTAATGGAAGCTGGGAGGAGGGGGAGAAGACAGGGGCAAGAGAAGGACCCAAGAGGTGGAGGGGCGTGCTTTGGCCTCCAGACCTGATCCCAGGGAAGAGGGCGGGGTGGGGGCAGAAACCCAGCACCAGCCATTCTTCCCTTTAGGGACCAGCGCTGAGCACTCCCCTGTACTAGGTGCCCTGCAGGGCACTGGGACTCAGCAGAAGACAGGATGTGTGGCCGAGAAGGGCTCCCCAGGGAGGCAGGTGACAAGCCAGCCGAGTGGGCATCTAGAGGGAGAGCATTTCTCTCAGAGGGCACAGCAAGGGCAAAAGGCTCCCAGGCTAGGACAGACTTGGTGCACCCCGGGGACAGATGGACCAGCATGGCTGGAATGAAGAGATATGCAGGGGAGTCAGACGCCAGTGGGGACTGCATGCAGGCCCCTGTGGGCATGAGGGGGGCCCTGTATACTGCTGGAGGCATGTGGTGGTTGAAGTGACAGTGCAGACGTGTCTGGACCTACCAAGTGGACATTGGAATTGGAAGATGTGGGCTCAGGGAGAGAGGCCAGACTTGATGTCTGCAGTTGAGGGGCCTGCTTCAGAGTTGGGGTGGATGAGGGCCCAGAGATGTGGCAGTGTTGGGGAGGAGCAGATGGTGCCAAGCTGGGAGCATGCCAGGCAGTGGGAGGGTGGCACTGGGATGAAAGAAAGGAAGCTGCAGATGAGGAAGGAGAGAACCAAAGAGGTGTGTGTTTCCTAGGCCAGGGGAGAGGAAATATCACTTGCAAGAGGTTTTCCTGGGATACCAAGCATGGAATGTAGACTGAGAAAAGACCGGGCAGTCAGTGTTCACTTAGAGAAAGCTATTTCAGTAGAGGATTCTGGGAATGGAGGAGTCTTATGAATTCCGAGGGCAGAAAGCCACCAGGAGTTTGGCCTCAGGCGTGGCTGGACCTAGGAGCTGAAGTAGTATCTTCAGGTCTTTATCTTCAGACATGGCTTTTGAAAGGTTATGGAGTTGTGAGGGTTCTGTGGCTAAATGTAATGTTAGACAATGAGACTGGTGTGAAGAGGCGGGTCCTCGGAGGCGTGGCCTGGCTCTCTCCTGACTTCTCCCTCCGCTCTGATTTCTGGCCACCATCACATGAGCAGCCTTCCCTCCACTGTGTCCCTCTTCCATGCCTTCTCGCTTTGAAGCCAGCTGTCCCTGGGCTGAAAGTGTGATCCAAAGAAACCTCTTCTCCTTTAAATCCTGCGCGTCAGGTATTATGTCCCAGCAATGAGAGAATGACTGAGACAGACTTTAGTATTAGCGAGGTGGGCTCACTGCTGGTACTGTGCCTGACTGTGTGGTTCAGAAGTCTTCAGAACTGGCTTACCAAAGGGAAAAGCATCCCTACACTTCTGTAAGCTAACCTTAATGGGAAATTCTGGTCAGAGCTCAGAAGACTAGACTGTGGAAAGAAATGTAGATGATAGAGATGAGGTTTAGGAGGTTTCAACTGGGAACAAGGGCTACGTTGGCAGCTGAGCTCCAGGCCATACATGGTGTTTTTTGTTGTTGTTGTTGTTTCTGTGGCAGAAAAATGTTCTGCATTTTGCTCATGTTCTAAGACTTTGCAGGAGACTGACATTAACAGCAATGGACTAATTAATTCGGTGGAGAAAATACCAAAGCAGCTCAATGTTGGGGCTGTGGCCTAGGTACTACTGGGGACTTTTAGCCTACATTGAGAATCAAGAATAAATAACACACCTGGAGTGGTTTTTAGAAGATTTGAGTTTTACCAGAAAGGTAGCTTCTGTAAAGGGGGGGGGGCTATAAAATTTTGGTCCTGGGACAGTTTAGTTGCTGAAAAGATTAGCCTTATAAGAAGGAGAAGGAGGAGGAGGAAGAAGAGGGGGAGGGGGAGAGAGGAGACAGGAAGAGGAGGAGACAGGGAGGAGGAGACAGGAGGAGGAGAAAGAGGAAGAGGAGGAAGAGGAAGAGGAGGAAGAGGAAGAAGGAGAAGGAGAAGGAGAAGGAGAAGAAGAAGAAGAAGAAGAAGAAGAAGAAGAAGAAGAAGAAGAAGAAGAAAAGAAGAAAAGAAGAAAAGAAGAAAAGAAGAAAAGAAGAAAAGAAGGAAGAAGGAAGAAGAAGACAGCCAGTACTTGTATTGTGACAATAGGAAGGACACCTTGAAACCTCACCTTTCTAGGTTCAAGGGTGCAAAATTATAAAGCTTTCATTTGAGAAGAGTGCTATAAGGCAGCATGCCTTGGAAGAGCCACCTGGGGAATTGGTTGTTGAGACTCAGGTCATAGTGCTCAGCCTTCAAGGCACTCAGAAGCCTCTGCAGGTGTGATTCAAGGGGGCCAGGCTACTGTTTGAGCTGGCAGCAGACCTTGGCATTGTCCATGTGGGGCTGGTTGTATAATCATGCGGAACATGAGAGTTGTGAGGTCAAGGAAGCTTCTACCCAGTTTTCAGAAATCCTGGAAGGGCAGGCAGTGTGTCCCCGAGAGGGTGGTGTATGAAGCTTTGGGAATGAAAGTATAGTAGAGACCCCAGAGGTTGGAGAAGCCAAGAACACAGGATGTCTGAGGAAAGCCACAAGGAGTAGGCAAAGCTAGCCCGAGAGAGAAACCACAAGGGCTCTAACTGCGGGCCACACTACAGGAGCAGGGCCACCAAGCTGCATCAGTTCCCGTCTTGCCACAGTGTGTCCCAGGTGCTTCACATGCACCTGGGTTTCCATATTGCTTTTGTCCCCTTCATTTTTATCCCCTGTTCCTTCCTTTAGGAAGGGGAGTGTTTGTCCTGTGCCACTGTATGTCAGCAGTGTTTAATTTTCCTTTTTATTTTTATAGTGGCTCACAGCTAAAGTCTCCTGTAAGTCTCAGGGGAGGCTGGATTTGGGCTTCTCCACAGTGCTGTAACTGTTAAGATTTTGGCAACTGACAGAGCTGAACTAAATGCATTGTGTATAAAAGCACATGAGCCTTGGGAGGGGCAGGGGCAGAATGTTAGGGTTAAATCGAGACAATGCCCCAAGCCTCATGCACTCGTATGTGGGGCTTTTGAAAGGTGGTTAAAAAGTGGGGAGTTTAGGAGGCAGGTCACGGGAGCTGTGGCCTGGGCAGGTTTGCTGTATCTCTCTCCCAGGTCTCTTGTTCTTTGCTTCATGCCCACCATGACATGAACAGCCTTTTCTGTACTGTGCCATCCTGCCTTGGAACCAGGCAGCTGTGGACTCAACACAGGAGGGAAGAAGCAAATTCTGCTCCTTTAATTTGTGAGTGTCACCAGGAAAGTGACTGAGACCACAGTGTAGCGAAATGGCCCCTTGGACTCCATGCCTCTGCCCTCCCAGCCCAGCATAGCCCTCCTAAAGCCGGTCCCTCTGTGAGCTCAGCTTGGATGGCCTGAAGTGGGCAATCAGAGAAGGGTTAGCTGAGTTCAGATGGGCAAAACAATAACTCCCCAAAGAGACAGCAGGTGACAGGGGGCTCAGGGAGGCAGAGCATCTGCCTGAAAGGAGAAATTAGGACAGCGTTTGGAGGGAGCCCCAGAACGAGGCCAGCCTCCCATCTCTTTGCTTCTAGGTAGGAGAGATTTATGCATGTCTGCAGTGGAGCGAGGGTAGGTGCCAGTGGGAAGAAGTGATTGAAGGTCTGGAGGGAGGAAATAATTGATGGAGCCAGGCCCCCAGCAAGACGAGCCGAGATGGAGTGCAGGGCACAGTGGGACACGAAAGGGGAGAAGGCAGTGTGCCAGTGTCACCGGCTGCTGCTTCTCCAGAACACCTTTGGACAGGAGTTGGCCGTGGTACAGCTGCATGCGCTGGACACTGCCCAGTGCCCACACCAGGGCCTCCAGAGCATCCAGTCTGTGTTCTCAGCGAGCTGGAGATGTGGGCTTTGGCCGTGTGTAGGAGCAGATCGCTTATCTTGTAGGGTACCTGGCTTATTTTCTAATACCTAGCATTTTTTCTTGACTGTAAAAGTAATACAAGTAAGGAATCTGCAAGACAGAGTTACCAGGAGGACAATCCAAGTCCACCCTACTCACCACCCTGGGATAACTACTGTTGACACCCTGGCAGGTGTCGCTGGTGCCTGCACACACTGCCTCGAAAGCTGCACGTTGGGCTTTTCCCCTTTTGTGTTCCTTCGTGAGGCCTCCACCTGCTGTTCTATAGTTCTCAGGGGCATCGTTAGTCATGTGACTGTGCCTCCTCCAGCCAGCCCCCCAGATTGCTGGCTCAGTGTTGCCCCCATCTGGGGAGCTTTGAAGTGGGGAGGGACTTCCAGCAAGCTTTCTGATAAGACTAAGTGGTCCTCCTAGGTGAGCTTCCCTCACTGTTATGAGGTACCCAAGAGAAGCTTCCAGGGAGGGAAAGGCTGAAGCTCACAGTTCTGGGGATTTTGCCATCCAGTTGGTGGGCATGGTTGACCAGGGCCTACACTAGGACCACCTCATGGTGGCAGCTTCCAGTTTGTAGAGGAGGAAGCTGCTCGCCTGTGGGGGCCAGGAAGAGAATGGGACCGAGCCCCTGTGTCCCCTTGAAGGCTTTCCCCCAGTGATCTGACCACGCCCCATCTCACAAAGGTTCCGCAGTGGCCTGGGAAACCAAGCTTTACCAGGGATTTTGGGAGACCTCGAGCCAAACCATAGGACTTCACCTCGGTTTCTTTGATAGTTGCACTTTTAGAAAAATCGAAAGTCTATTAAAAATACTTTTTATAAAACAAATAAGTTCTAGATTTGAGTGATCATAAAATAATTTTTTGCCAACATGAATGTCTAGTGGTGCCACTGAAAGTGGTGTGGGGCAGGAGGTTATGCTCTGTGCCGGGATGGCCCTATGCAGAGGAGGACAGTGACGTCCCCAGCCCATCTCAAATGCCAGGAGGGTCCCCGAGGCAGGGAGATCATCACGAGCAGCCCGTGTGGCTTGGACGATGCTCTCTGGAGGGTGGCCTTCCTGGCTGAGAGATGCCATGTTAGGCAGTTGCTAAGCGTCCCCATTTCTGCACGTACCACTAATGGCATCATCCCTCCCATGTCCTTTCTTTCAGAAGACGCCCAGGCCACCAGGACACCACCACGATCACGCTGTCGCACTGAGCAGGAACACATGCTGCACGAGTCGTGGGACTCCCTCAGTGCCTTCAACCGCTCCCACCGGGGCCGCATCTCCCACCTGGAGCCCCAGGGGGACATCTTGGACGAGTTCCTGCAGCAACAGAGGAGCAGCCGGGCCAGGGACCAGCCACCACCCTGCAGGGATGAAGAGCCAGAGCCATCAAAGGGGCAGGGTGACTGCTCCGTAGAGACAGATGACAGCAATGACTTCAAAATCCCCGTCTTGCCTTATGGACAGCACCTGGTCATCGACATCAAGTCCACATGGGGTGACAGACACTACGTGGGGCTTAATGGGATTGAGATCTTCAGTTCCAAGGGGGAGCCAGTGCTAATCTCAGCCATTGCAGCAGACCCGCCTGACATCAACGTTCTGCCTGCTTACGGGAAAGACCCCCGGGTGGTCACCAACCTCACTGACGGGGTAAACAGGACGCAGGACGACATGCATGTCTGGCTGGCCCCCTTCACGCCAGGCCAGCCCCACCGCATTTCCATTGACTTCATGCACCCTTGCCATGTTGCCCTGATCAGGGTTTGGAATTACAACAAATCCAGGATCCATTCCTTCCGCGGCGTGAAGGACATCGTGATGGTCCTGGACGGACAGTGCATCTTTGACGGAGAGATCGCCAAGGCCTCCGGGACCCTGACAGGAGGTACAGTGTATTTTGCAGAATGTCCTGGCAGCCCCTGTGTGCTGCTCACTGAAGCTGTGAGGGGAAAAATTAACCCCCCCGGCTGACCCACGACAGGTGGGACCTCTCTTTCCCAGTCCTGGTCACTGCCTTCGCCTCTTGCAGCCTGGGCCTACCAGGGCCAGTCTAACGTCTTTTCACCTCCACTAAGAGCCTAAGTGTATCGGGGCCCCAGACCTTGAGCCTGAGGAGGAGAGTTAGCCTTGAGTAATGCACAGCACAGTGCTTCTGAGGGGATCTTGGGTCAGAACACGAGATGTAGTTTCAGGAAGCCTGGCCTCAGCCCATCCCATGGGAGCTGCAGACCATAAATGTGTGGTCTCCTGGCTTTAGGCAAAGTGGTGGGCTTTGGGGCCACTCGTCCCTGCAGCCAGATCCCCAGGGTGGGGCCGGGACACTCACACCCTCTCAGACAAGACAGCCATGGAAAAGGATGAGCAGGGTCTGGGCACAACACCTGCGGCATCAGTTTCCGCAACTCGCCCACACCAGAAAAGTGCCGCCTGGTCGGGGGTGGAGTGCAGAGGTTCCCAAGGTCGTTGCCCTGGGCCTTGGGCCTTGGGCTTGGTGAACTCTGTTCTCCATTTGAAGTACATGAGGAGTAAGACAGCTCACAAACACAGCCAGTAACCCTTGGGGTGTTGGCGCCACGCAGCGCAAAGGTCGATGGGTTCAGGTTCCGGGTGTTCACGCCACCCTTTGCTCTGCCTGGTCTGCACTCAGCGCCGGAGCACTTCGGAGACACCATCTTATTCACCACCGACGATGACATCCTCGAGGCCATTTTCTGTGCGGACGAGACTTTCGGGGCTGACGTGGAGAGGCTGGGTGACCTGCAGCTGGAGGAGGCACTGCGGAGGCCCAGCACGGCCGACAGCGACGGGCAGGAGCGGCCCTTCACGCAGGCAGGCTCGGGCGCCGAGGACCGGGTAGGGCTGCGACACACACACACACACGCACACATGCCAGCGCCTCTGCTCCCGGCTCCAAGTAGAGCCAGAAGAATTGTAACAGATAGCCTTTGGGTTACTCAGGCCACTGTTTTGACATTCCCAGTTTTGCCCTTCATTTTTTGTCCTGTATGTCATATTTCATTCTCTAATTATTTTCTTTTTTTTTTTAATTTATTTAACCAAAGTGAAGAAAGCAATCGAATTTTAATCAAAGCCAGGAGAGGCCCGCTGTGCATCATCCGTATAATTTAGAGGTTGGCGGCCCAGGGGGGGCTTTTCCTTTGGATTGTGTTTTGATCTCTTGCTGTTTGCAATGGAAAAAGTAGACATCGATTTAATAGACAGACAGCCTTGCAATTAGAACCATGACCACCATGGCCAATGTGTCTGCCTGCGTGTCACCATCCACGTGTGGTCATGGCAGTAGTGTGTCTGTCCCCACGGTGGCCTTTGAGTAGAAACTCCTGTGTTCTTGTTGAGGAACTTTGAAAGTTTAGCCACTTGCCTAAGTTTTTAGTCAGCTAAAATCTAAAGTCATGGGTCCAAAGCTTAAGCTTTTCCTCCGTATACACATCTTTGTTTGTTTTTAAATAAAGATGACTGGCAAAGCAAAGGTCAGTCCCAGTCCCCAAGGTCTCTGGGGCCCTTCTTCTGAACATGAGGGGAAGGGACATGGATTAAGTGTGTCGAGAGGAGGCAGGGAACAGCCAGAGGCTGCAGGAGAGGAGGCCGGGCAGTGGATCCTCGTGGCCAAGGCCGAACAAGTTGGCGGCCCGTGGACCCCACTGCGTTCACACGGCGGAACCAGGCAGGACCAGGCAGGGCTCAGGGCCAGATGGCGGGTAGTGGGGCCCTCCGTGGCACCCTGTGTGGCCCTCCTGCATCTAAGGAAAGTGGCTGACACACTGCCCAGGGACAGTTGCTTGTTCTCCTGGTTTCTTTTCAGAAGCCAGAAATCTGGGTGTTTATGTAAAAGTCTCAACTTAACAAGGGCAGCTAATTCAGATGTTTTCAAACCGTCTTTGGCCACTAAGTATACCATGGTCTGACTTGATCTACGAGTCCCCCACTGGGAAACAACCTTGAGGTCCTCCAGTGCCCAGGTTTTCCAGAAAATAAAGTTCTCACAGGGGCCTTGTGGATGGACCCCACCCCACGTGCTGGGGATGAGCAGTTTGGCAGGGTCTGGGTCTCTGCCGTGCCGTCTCTGTGAAACACTGAGGCGCCTCTGCCCTGACTTGGGCTGCAGAGAGCTAAGGCACACTCTGGGCAGGGACGCAAGGCGCAGGTGAGGCAGCCACTTGGGATTTTATCCTGGCTGTTCATGAGCCAACTGAGACTTTAGATGTGGACGACTGAGCCCCACCCCGACATGCTGGCTCTGAGGACAGCTGTGCCGAAAAGCACACTCTGGTTTGATCCCTGCCTCCCAGCCTCCCTGCCTCCCTGCCTCCCAGCCTCCCTGCCTCCCAGCCTCCCAGCCTCCCAGCCTCCCTGCCTCCCTCCCTCCCTCCCTCCCTCCTTTCTTCCCTCCTTCCCACCTTCCTTTCCATCTCCTTCCTTTCTTCCCCCTAAACTTTCTCTCCTCCTCCTTCTTACTACATAAACATTGTCAGGATCTTCTCTGTTAGGAAAACCTCAGTCCACATCTCCACTACCTGCATGTGTAGCCGGCAGGGAGCAGCCCCCCAGGTGCCCACTGGTCCCAGAGCCTCTGCAAAGCCTGATGGACCAGAAAGGGCCTGTGCATTTCCCAGGACATGAGGGGGGCAGCTGTCTTTGGGTCACAGCCAGCCAGCCCTGTGAATGCTGCTAAAACCACCCCTTTCTTTCTGCTTCTCCCGGCCCACTGTGCAGGTCCCCAGGCCTGAGCTGCCACCCAGCGTCCCTGTCCCTGAGGTGACCACGCCGGAACCAGGAATCTACCATGGGATCTGTGAGTACTGCCCGCCTGGGGGCGGAGAGGCCTTCTGGCCACTTGGGATGGGATTTCCTTGCACGGAAGTCCCGGGCTGCAGGCCGGGTGGGGCTGAAACTGACCTCTGCTCAGCACTGCGCCTGGCTGGGGAGTGCCCCTGGAGAGGAGCGGCGCCTCCTTGTAGCTGACCCAGGCTGGTCGTTTGTGCTTTGCACACGAACAACATCGTGTGCTCACCGTGGGTCTGACTGGGGAGGCTGGACTGGAGCCCAGGAGTGTAGAAAGGAAACCCAAGCCACAGAAGGACCCTGGGCACATAATTGTTCCCAACACAGTGGGAGCTGCTGGTTCAGGCCCAGCCTCAGAATTGGGCAGCGTACCAGGCAGCCTGGGTCGCCCGTGCCTCAGCTGGCAGACGGCAGAAGCATGACGGCCCTGGGTTCCAGATCCTCTGACCTCTGAGAGGTCAGCAGTCCAGCTTTTCGTGTGCGCTCTCTACAGCTATGCTGGATAGTTTTAGAATGTTTGAAAGCCCTGCATGAGCCTAATAACATGCCGCCTGCGGCCTCTGGTAACTCCCGCCTGGTCCCCGGCTCTCACCCTGCCCTGGGCCTCCTTGCCCCGGCTGGTGCTCTCCTCATTCTCGGCCTCCTCATTCTGCAGGCTGAGGTCACCGCCACCTTTGGGCTCCTCCCTTCTATGTTTTCTTGACAGCCTGTGCCCGGGCTCCAGGAAGCCTCACTGCCAGCTCTCCCGTATCCCCCACGCCTGCTCCCCACTTCCACTTTGTCTCCTAAAGACAAGACCATGGCATTGTTCCTGCCTTCCCAGCCCTGGGCCTGCTCCAGCCCCCCAAAACCCCACCCCCGCCTCCCCAGCCCCCCAGGCACGGACCTGACCTGGACCTACATGGGGGCATGGCCAAGGTCTGAGGAGCAGGTGGAGGGAGAGGTCAGCTCAGCCAGCCCTGTGGGCTGCTGGGAGGCTGGGCCTTTCAGGGCATGTCAAAGAATGAAGGAACAGTATCCCCGGATCACTGGGTATGGGCTGCCCCAAGGAGAAGCAGGGTCCTGTACAGAGTCGGGATCGCTGGTGGGGGCTCTCAGCATCCTTCGTTCTGGGGGTTGGGCGGGGTCTCGGCTGTGCACACTGCACCCCTTCCTTAGACCCTTCCATGGTGCTCAGGAGCAGCAGCAGCTGTGCCCTCCAGTGTCCCCAATGAGTGCTTCATCTCCCCACACTCTCCGGAAGGACAAGTTGTCTTGTAGAAGAGAGGAAGGTGGCTTGATTGGAATCCTCACAGCCCTGCACTTTCCAGGACACTCTCAGTTTCTGTAGAACAGCAGTCTAAAAGCCCAAACTGGTGTAAGGGAGGCCCGGGTTGAGGAAGGTCTGGTTTTTCATCCAGCACACACAGGGGCTTTTCCTGCCAATCACAGTGGCCATGCCCAGCTGCTACTGTCCACCCTACTGTCCAGATAGAGGTGTGGTGAGCTCAAGCAACTTGCCTGTGGTAACCACAGCTGGCATGGAGGCTGGGTGTGGCCCGTGTCCTCCCCACAGGCCCACGGGGCCCTTGCTGAAAGGGGCCCACATCAGAGGTTGCCACAGGAGTCGGCCTCCCCCGGAAGCTGTGAGTTCCCATGAGATATCTGGAAGTTGAAGGCAAGCCGAGTTAAGCAAAAGCAGTCCTTTATGGTACTGACCACAAAACTAAACAGCCAGAGGCCACAGTTGCCTGCCCGGAGGGACACAGACATAAAGACAATTGGCGCCAAGCCTCGGGCATCTTGCTGCCTTCTGCCCTATCCTACGTGGGTTCTCCGGGGAGCTCCAGACTCATCCTTCTACCCTGTAGTCCCAGACGAGAGGGGCCAAGCCTCCCAGGAGGGCCACCAGCCGGGTCTAGCTTGGGCCACGTGCCCATCCACAGTCCCGTGGTCTAGGCTCACCCTGGTGGGGAAATGGACCACAGAGCAGCCAGGCCTGTCCACGTCCAGCCTGGGGTGCGGGGTCAGGCACCCACAGTGTGGACTCTGCACAGCACTGTTCTTTGGTAAGGCCAGAGTGCCCCAAACCAAAGGCCAGCTGGGCAGAAGTCGCCCCCACTCTATCCCCCCGATTTCTCCAAGATGGGGTGTATAAAGGGCTTTCCCACTCAACCCGTTCCTGGCCTTTCTCAGAGATAGTAGTGCAGTGCCTTGGGGAATTTTGCGCCCAAGTAGAGCTCAGACTGCTTTTTGCTGTGAGGAAAGTGGGCTTTCGGGGCCGAGCTCCTCAGCAGCAAGGCCTCTGCGTGGAACACCCCTGCATGTTCCTGTGGGTCTGGGAGTGCTGCAGTCTCTGGCCCCTCCCTCCTGCCCCCCCCCAGCCCACATCCCAAATCTTCCCCCTCCTTCACCCATCTGTGCAAATGGAGAGGGCTTAATAAAGCAGCCCAGGAGACGCGCCGGGGTCGGTAAATACGGCCAAATCCTATTAATGTTTTGAAAGGGAAGATATGACTTGCTAATTTGCAGATGACACTAATTTTGGAAGTTTTGCAAATATCAGCAGTGATGAATAGGAAAGGAGCTGAGAGGGTTGAAACATAGGAGAGGAATAACAAAATTAATTTCCATTTATATAAATACTAATTGATACACCCAAGGAAAATGAATATGAAGCATGGGCATTAGCTGCAAAAGGAGGGTGATCATTTTCAGCGCATCCCGGATTCGGTGAAAGCGGCGCATCTTGCCAGGCAAACAAAGAAATGGGCAGGCTCGGGAGCTGCGGCCGCTGTCCGTTTTGTTTCCACTTGGGGAGGAGGCATTTCAGCAGTTCTCCCTCGCACGGTCCCTCCCTCCAAGTCCACCCCTCTTGGGCTTCTAGCCCCTCTCTGTCGGGACGCCACCCATGGCCTCTTTGCTGCCCAGGCCAGGCTCCTGCTCTCACTCGCTCCTTACCCAGGCCATCAGGGACCTGGTGACACTGTCTACAAAGACATGCCCCGTCTCGCCTCTGCTGCCCACTCTTGCTGTGGCCCTGTGGTGTCGGTGTCCAGTGCCAGGCTTCCTCCCCACTGGCCTCTTTGTGCAGGCCCGCTGCAGAGCACGCCTAGAATGCGCATCCCGCCACGGCGTCCCACAACAGGGGCCTGCATGCCTTCTGCGCTCCAGCCCCACCTCACTTTCCAGGCCTCTGGTCTGCTCGCCCTCAGCTGCCCAGGGAGGGGCTGCATTTGCCTGACAGGACAGATGCAATGCCACACACATGGGGCTGCAGATCATGTGCGCCTGGGGTCCTCTTCTATCTTGCCCCACGTGTACTCCTGAGTCTGCTTGGGAAGGGGCCAGGCTGGCCAGTGCCCTGCTGCTCCGCTGGATACCGCAGGTCATCAGCAACAGGTCAGCCCACCAGCTCATCAGAACAAGGGCTGGCGCACAGAAGCCAGGCGATGGGGTCAGCTGAGAACCACGCGGGCGGGACACAGAGCTCAGCTCTGAGCCCCAGATGCTCTACTTGCAGAAATGCAGAAGCACCCTGGCCCCAGCTCAGACGTGCTCCCGCCCAGCTTCCGCTCAGCCGCTCCACTCCCTCAGCTCCCTGGCTCGCTCTGTGGCGCTCCAGTGCTTATTTACATATTTGTTAGGTGTTTGGGGCTTCTTTGTCAGGAGGAAAGCCCTCTGCACTCGCTCGGAGCTTCTCCCGCGTTCCTTAGGCCCATCTTCATTGCCCAGAATAGGATCTGCTACACAGTAGACAGTCAATAAAGGTTTGTTTACCACTCCCCATGAATTTGGCGGGGCACAGGAGTTCTATTTTGCCTTGCCCGCTTGCTGACAGCTGCTGAACACCTACTTTTCAAACAGTCATGTGATTAAAATGAAAATTGATTGAGCAGCATGTGCCAGGCACTGTTCTAGGTTCTGAAGCTGTAACAGTGAGCAAAGCCAATAGAGTCCTCACCCCATGGGGCCTCCGTTTTCGTGGGACAGATTACAGAGAATAAGCTCGTAAGACAGAGTAGGTGACCAGGTGGTATTAAGAGCTAGGAGCAAAAGCTCAGGCAGGGCTCAGGGGAGGACAGAGGGGTGGTGGAGCGCAGACTCTCCAGGACTCCCAAGAGATGGCAGGAGCAGAGGGGTGTGCTGGTGAGCTTTTGCTGTGGAACAAAGCGGCCCAGATCCGAGCAGCTTACCAGTTGCTGTCTTCTCGTGATTGGCTCATCCTCGTGTCCCGCCCGCGTGGTTCTCAGCTGACCGCATCGCCTGGCTTCTGTGCGCCAGCCCTTGTTCTGATGAGCTGGTGGGCTGACCTGTTGCTGATGACCTGCGGTGTCCAGCGGAGCAGCAGGGCACTGGCCAGCCTGGCCCCTTCCCAAGCAGACTCAGGAGTACACGTGGGGCAAGATAGAAGAGGACCCCAGGCGCACATGATCTGCAGCCCCATGTGTGTGGCGTTGCGTCTGTCCTGTCAGGCAAAGCAGGCCAGCCACATGGTAGAGAAATGGACTCCAGTTGTACAGGTTGAGTGGCGAAGTCACAGTGCGCAGGGGCAGGAGCAGGGACAGGAGCTACGTGGAGCTGATGTGTATCTTCCAAAGCCATGAGGGGTGAGGAGCAAGCTCAGGGCTGTGCAGGTCACATGTGTTTTTTTTGTTTTGTTTTAATTTTTATGGATTTGGTACAGGGTCGCACTACACAGGTTGGGCTTGTAGTGATCCTCCTCTGTCAGCCTCCCCAGCCCTGGGATTACAGGGGTGTGACACGATACCCAGATTCAGTGGCTGGCTCAGCATGCCTGGGGCAGGGCTGGCACAGGGCAGGGCTGGCATAGGGCATGTGGTACTGGGGATTGAATCCAGGTCCTTGCACTTGCCAGGCAGGCACTTAGACCACTGAGCTCTCTCTCTGGCCCCCGTGTGTGCCTTCCATCCACCCCTAAGATGCTCCGAGCAACCTTGGCACCACGAAGAGCAGCAGGCTCTGGGGCTGAGTCACAGAAAGAATGCTGGGAAGCACCCGGGACCTCAGCGAGGACACGAAGCTCAGGGAGGCTGGGGATGTGCCCTGGCCACAAGGCTGCCCTGTAGCCTCTTTGTTTTGTTTTAGTTTTTGAGATGGGGTCTTGCTATGTAGTCCAGGCTGGCCTTGAACTCGCTATGTTGCTAAGGGTGGCTTCGAATGCGTGACGATCCTCCTGTCTCAGCCTCCCGTGTGCTGGGGTTACAGGCGTGCGCCACCACGCCTGGCTTCCTATAGCCTGTGTGGGCAGAAGCAGGGCAGGATGAGATGGCTTCGGGCTTCTGTTGTCGTAGCAGCATTGGCATTCTGAGGAAACTGCGGAGTGGAAATCTTCTGACCTTGGCCACCAGAAGAGTGCTAACAGGTCATAGGTCATCCTCGGGGGTGGAAGGGTGCTCCAGGCGTGGTCCTGCCCTAAATAGAGGCCCAGAAGGAAATCCAGAGTCCAGCCAATGGCGCGCTACCAAGAGGCTCATCCCGTGGGAACTTTCTGGGCAAAGGAATGAGTCACTGGGGCTGTTTTGCCCTGGGGCCAGAAAGGTCACCTCTTAAATGGTCCAGGGGTGGGGGGATGGGTGAAGGCGGGGACAGAAGGTTGGAGGTGTCCCAAAGGTTCTTTCCTTTACCCTGAATCCATGTGATCTTTTACGGTAGAGGCCAATTTGTATAAAACGACAGTTTGTCCCATGGTTGGGGCTCCCTGGTATAACGAGTTTCATTTAGTTACTTACTTGTTTGGTCATTCCATCTGTCCTGAGCCCTACTACGTGCTGGGCGCTGTGCCAGTTTCTGAGGGTGGGAGGAACAGCACTGTGATCGGAGGGCTGTGCGCGAGGCCACCAAGTCATGTGAGTTCCAGAGGGAGGGAGTCGCATGTGCAAAAGTCCGTGATGGCAGAGGAATAGAAATAGAAGCAACTGAGAGATGGACAGAGCTCAGGTCCTTGTGCCCAGGGAGGGTAGGGAGTGGGTGAAGGCCTTGTGGGACATTCTTTCCTCGCCAGAGTGGAAAGCTGCACCAGGTGGGCTGGTGTGGGATGGGGCAGCTCCAGGCCAAATATAAGTTTAAATCACACCAGTCTTTAGTGTGTAGACGTGTCCCAAGCCTTGGCAGTGCTGGTCCCGAGGGCTGCGGGAGGAAAGGCAGAGTGCACCCCAGCCCACATTTGCGCACTGTGGACGCTGAAGGGCGCCCGCCCGCTGCCTCCTGCCAACCCCAAGGCCCTGGTGCTGATGGGCCGCTCTTCTTCCCATCACAGGCCTCCGGCTGAACTTCACAGCCTCCTGGGGGGACCCACACTACCTGGGTCTCACTGGCCTGGAGGTGGTGGGCAAGGATGGCCAGGCGCTGCCCGTCCACCTGCACCAGATTTCTGCCTGCCCCCGGGACCTGAATGACCTCCCGGAGTACACAGAGGACTCCCGGACCCTAGACAAGTAAGTGTCTATGGGAAGCTCCACTGTGCGCGCCTCAGGCCTCGGACAGAGGCGTCCAGTGGATCCTATGTGTCACCCGTCCCCACCGCCCTGGGGGAGGGCCTGTGGTTATGGGAAACCAGGGCTCAGGAAAGGGAGTGACCCCCCCCCCGTCACATGGCTACCAGAGGCAGGATGTGAGGCCGTGCCCCCACTGCACACACCTTGTGGTTTGTCCTCTCCACCCAGCCAGGTGCGCTGCCTGCACACAGGTGCCAGCAGCCTCAGGAAGCCCCTGCTGCGACAGCGCTCCGAGCCGCGCAAGTGCCTCTGGCCTCTGGCCTCTCTCCGGGCTTGAAGCTTTCTCTACATTTCCACTTACACCTGTCAGACTGCGCACCCAAAGCTGGGGCGGGCCACGAGGGTGCAAGCCTCGGGTCCGGCATCCATCCCTGGGACCCACAGCTCTGTGGGGCGTGGCCACTGCCGAGGTGGGGGGTGAGGAAAGTCAAGGGGAGTCCTGGAGTTCAGATCCCGCCTCCACCCTCTGCCACCTGCTGAGATTTTAACCCCTCCAGTGATAACAGTAATGACAACAGCAATTATTGATAGAATAAAAAACATGCTTTGAATGCTTATTAAATACCAAGCACTGGGTTATACCAACTGGTTACCGATGTTCATCCAGTTACACCTCCAACCAATGATAACAAGCACTGTTATTGTCACCCCTACTTTACGGATGAGCACCTCGAGATACAGCAGCCACTGGGCTTGTTGAGTGATCTGAACGCAGGCCCAGGCGTACCAACACTGAGCGACCTACTTCGGCTTCCGAATCAGCAGGAGGGGGTCCGGAAGGGGGGGTCGCGTTGCGCCTGTGCCCCTTGGCCTGGCCCATGGCAATGAATGAGTGTAGTGCCAGGGCCGGGCTCCTGCGTGCCTCTGTTGAAGTGGCTCCTTGGTGCGGCCCTCAGCCCAGCGTGGCATCCACAGCTTATAGACCTCCCTGTCCTCTGTGTCCTGACAGTTCGCCCTCCCTGGTAGTTAAACCTGGAGCCCAGTCCTGGCACCTAGCAGCTGCCAGAGCAACCCCCCCACACACACAGCCCTGCTCACTCGGGTCCCCGTTCCCTACGCCCGGGCCAGGAGATCTCGCAGCCAGTCCCAGGCCTGCTTATACGTCTTCTCTAAATATTTCAGCATGTTTCTCTAATGAATTTGACTTTATTTTTTTAATTTTTTAAAATTATTAATTTTTTTTTTTTAGGGAAGGGTCTATAGGGTGTTCAGGGTCTCACTACTAGATCGGACTCGTAGTCATCCACCTGTTTACAGCCTCCCAAGAGCTGGGATTACAGGCGTGCACCACCATGCCCAGTCTCAATCGTAGTCTCAGCAAGCCCCTGGTGGTGGGGCTGGCACGGCGGGCCCGGGGATCGAACTCCCAGCCCCTGTGCCTGCTTGCAGAAGCTTCAATCTGCTGAGCTATTTGGCCGGCCCATCAGTATTACTTTAAAGGGCAGATAGCACCTCAGGATCATTATCACACCTAAAAATGTTAACATGGTGGTTCCTTAAACTGCAGGGTGTCCGTCTGGCACCACGGCCCTCTCATCCTTCACAGAGTTCACTTGGGCTGAGATGGGATTGGCCGGGGGGTCTCTCCAGCTTGGTGCTGGGGTCCCTTCTGCTTCTGCCATTTTTTTTTCTTGTAAGTTATCTTTTGAAGGCACCATGTTTCCTTGCCGCGTGCAGTCTGGGCTTCAACACTCGCATCCCTGTGCTGGTCCTGTTCTTCCATCTCCTGTATGCTGCGCAAGTTGTTGGTTAGATCTAGAGATCTGATCTGGTCAGGGTCTGGCCCCCGGGGCCAGACAGCAGTGTGGAAGCTGCCCGTGGCCGGCGGGGTGTGTACCGTGCGTCTGCCACGTTTGCAGTGGCGGTGTAGCCGGGTGTGCTCAGGGCTAGGTTCAGGCATCTGCTAGTCGCCTTATGCCTTTTTCACTTGTTTGCCGCAATGATTATGATAAAGAGAATTTCCCTGAAATCTATTATTCTGTGGCACGGTTCAGACAGGAAGGGGTAGCCCATGTGCCTCGATTCTTTCCTTCTCCCTCTTAGTGTTCAGAATAACAAAAGGCTTCTCTGAAACATTTTCAGGTGCTTTTAGGTATCATTATAAACTTATGACTTAGGCGTACAGCGGTTGGAAGGTTTCAGTCCAGTGCTCGTTTTATCCTTCTTGGTGCTTAAATTGTTCTGTCTCAAACAGGGGGAGCTTCTGAGTCTGTTTATTTATTTGTTTGCTTAGTATTATGGTGCGGGAGTGAAAGCCAGGGCCTTGGGACGCTGGGCAAGTGCTCCGCTGCTGAGCCACATCCCCAGTCTACCCGAGTTCTTGTAAAGCAACCATATCTGGCAGCTTCCTTGCCTTCTGGGGGACAAGACGGTCCAGGCTCCTATGGTGGATTTCTCGGCTGAGTTCTGGCCTTCTGGGGGGAAACAGTATTTGGAGAATTTAGAGATCATAGTCAAGCCTGCGGGGCTGCTCACTGTTGCTGGTGTGGCCGTGGGTTCTAGACCTTTCTGAGGACAGAAGCAGGTGTTCCTTCAGATGCCCTGGAAGGTGTCTGTGGGGCCTCCTGTATGGTCGCCTGTGGGCACCTCAGCACCCTTGCCGCACTCAGAATAGAGCAGCAGTTTTGCAGTGGAAGTGGCCCCATTTCTAGGACAGAAAAGTAATTGCTTTGGAAAGGAAATAGAAGGCTCTGTGCTGGTGGCTCGCAGTCAGCGCAGCTCCACAAGCACTCCGTGTCAAGCTGCTGAATTTCCTCAGTGTTAAGATGCCAGCAGTTGTGAGACACACCATCCATCAATTTAATAACAGCTTTTTGGAGGAGGAAAAAAAATCACATTACCTCCTGGGATGAACACTTAGATTGCAGGACTTATTCCAAACCCCAAATTTTAAAATGTAAAAGGAAAAAAAAATGTATTTGCAAATTTAGTACACATGGCAGCAGCCCGTGTCTCCCAGGACAGCAGGTCCAGAGCCACCAGGAATCGGGTGTGGGAGGCGCATGACAATGGGAAGGCAGGGAGGGAGAGGCCTGAGTCGCGGGGTGCTGCCCGGTATCTAAGTGGCCACGTATCTAAGTGGCAGTGCCCGAGACCCCGGCCAGGAGGACAAGGGTGGAGGCAGAGCTGGGGAGAGCGAGGCAGGGAGGCCCAGGCCGCGGAGCCAGAGCTGGCAAGGATGGAGCAGCCGTGGGCCGGGTGGGAGGGTCTGCTCAGTGTCGAAGGAGCTGGGGGCTCCCTCCTGTGCCTGGGGCTTCGCTGGGGTGCCCAGGCCCGTGGGCACCGGCACAGTCCGCCCTGTCCTGCTCCCAGGGCCACCTGCCTCGTCTTGCCCTCTGCCCCAGCCAAGGGCTACCTAATCCCCTGGTGCTTTGGTTCCTTCCTGCCGGGCTCATGTCCCTCCCCGTGCACCAGGGAGCCAATGCAGCAATCTCAGAAAGTTTGGGAAGCAGAGAAGCGTCACTTCCTCTGTCCCCAGCGTGGGCCTCGCTTTCGCAGCCTCTCCTGGCCCTGGCCCTCATTTCCCAGGTTACGGTCAGTGTCCCTGCCGTCCTGGGCTCCCTTCCCTGTGTTAGCCCAGCAGCTCATGGTCATCGCTTCGGGCAAATTTACTTGACCATTTCCCTATTTCAGGGTATTTTCGGTGGTACCGCGTGTGCGTGCGCGTCGCCATTGTACATAACTCTAATCGATATCTCTGTGCAGATAACCTTTCCAGCATGTGGAACAGACTCTCCACAAGGGTGAAAAAACCCCAGAAGTGGTTTTGCTGGATTAAAAGATTCTGAAATACGGCACATTTTCCTTTTCTTCTTCTTTTTTTTAAGCCCTGATGACTGCCTCACTGCGCCTTTGACTGCATTCACCGTTTCTAGTTCTTTCTCCTTTTGAAAGAAAAAAATATTTTGTCTAGTTTTATAGATAAGAGAGGTCTCCTCGCCATAGATCTCATTAGTCGCAGCTCCTAGCTGAACCCCATGCAGCCGGCTTCACTGCGGCTGCGCCCCAATGCAGGGACCGCCACGCCCACCGGCTGCCCTTCCCCGCCCCCACCTGCAGGTTGATTGACGGCGTCAACATCACCACGGAGGACGAACACATGTGGCTGGTCCCCTTCTGGTCGGGGCTGGACCACGTGGTCACGATCCGCTTCCCCAGGGCCGAGAGCCTGGCCGGCCTGCGCTTCTGGAACTACAATAAATCTCCCGAGGACACCTACCGGGGGGTAAGCCGGGCCGGCGGTGGCTCTCAGGCCACTGTCAGGGAAACAGCCTGTGATGGATGGCCAGAGGCTGCTGGAAAGGAGCATAAATCCTCCGGAACTTTCTAAGTGGAGCTGGGGCTGATGGTAGAAGGGGAGAGAGCAAGCGCTTGCCACCACAGCCAGCGCAGACCCATGGGCCCAGTGCAGCCTTCCTCCGGCACTGGAGCCTTCAGCAGGCCGCCCAGATCTGCACCACGGGGAGGGGTGCAGCCCCAAGGTGCAGCCCCAAGGCACAGCTGGGCTGGTGCCCAGCACATCGTGCGCACCTGTGGTCTCACCGGGTCTCGGCCCAGCTCTAGGGGACAAGGGCTACTGCCCCATCTCTCAGGGCATTAAATGGAGGCTCGGGAAGGTTCCACTGTGAACTTGAAGCCACACAGCTAAGGAACCCCAGCTCTGCCCAGTGTGAGGCCGCACCCCACTTCCACACCTTGTTCTTGTCTTATGGGTGTGAAAATCAGGTTTCCTAAGACATGCCTCTGTCAGAGCAAGGAAAGGTCCCCTTTTCGTGGCTCACCTGCCCTCTGGGGCCTCCGCATGCTAAGCCTTGTCTCCTCCTGTCACCTCAAGAGGCAGTAAGGCCCAGACAGCCTCCCCAACAAGGCCTGAGTGCCTCAGCAGTGTGGCCATTTTCCCTGTACTCCTCAACCACAGAATGAAGCAGGAGGTGCAGCCTGTGGAGGGTTGGTATTCCTGTGGCCTTAGGTCCTGTGGTCCCAGGATCTGTGTCCCCCCCCATGTGGCCACTTCTCCCATGGGACGCAAGGGCCTTGGGGCCTGGGTTCTAATTCTAGAACATGGCCCAAAGCCCCTACCTCAAGGGCCTGGCCCCCGTCTCGGTGTCTCAGAGGCGCAGCATGGAGGGCTGAGGGAAGTGGAGGCAGACGCATGGCATGGGAGGGCAGGGCCCACATGCAGGGCTGTGGGCTGTGACTCTCAGGTGCTCACACGCCAAGGCCTTGCTGAGTGCCTGCTTCTTGTGGGCTGGAAGCCAGGGTCTCAGCTGCCTACAGATGGGGCAACCTGAGGCCCGGGAGGCACGTTGCCCTCCAAACCCCACACTTTCTTCAGGAAGCAGCTTTTTTTGGGCAGAGCTTGCTGCTGTGCGGAGGTGTTTGCTGGCCACCTAGGCTAGGCCAAGGGGACAGGATGGAGGGCAGAGAGGCCAGGCAGTGTGGCCCACATCTTGGCTCTGGAGTCACTTCTGGTGGCATGTCTGCAGGGAAATGCTGGCGATCCCAGGTTTGTAATCTTCTGCTCCACGTCCGAAAACCAGAACCCCTTTGTAGGCCCCGGACTCTTCGTGGCTTCCTTTGGGCTGAGCAGTAGAGAGAAAGCAACTTGACCCTAGAGACGGCTGCGCCTAGAGCCAGGTAGCCCAGCAGAACGGTTGAGAGGCCACGGAGCTGGCTGCCTGCAGACTTGGCGGGAGCCCCCGACAGCCCAGGAAGGAGCCCGGGCCGCTGGGCAGCTCCCGAAAGGAAGTCCCAGCAGCGTAATCAGAAGCTGCACCCGCATTGGCCCTCTGAAGCTGCCTAGGGGCTGAGAACCTGAACCCAGAATCGGAGGTCAGAGAGGGTGCCAGCCACAGCCCCATGTGCCTCCCCACCCCTGCCCATAGCCAGGCAGCGGCTGGACCACCTCAGGCTTGCCTTAGATCCCAGCCCTCTGGCTAGAAAATGCTGGCCTAGAGCAAGAGGAAGGCATTGGCCCGAATCCGCAGGAACACAACAGGCTCCTGGTGAGCACCAGTGTGTGGTGCGCCCTGAGGCGGTGCAGGAGAGGGTGCAGCTGGGGTCTGTGACAGTGAGCGAGGCCTGGACTAGCAGCCTGGAAGGGGCAAGCCAAGCGCCCTGAGAATGCCAGGGGCAGGGTCGCTGTATGACCCAGAGTCTGAAGGCGGCATGACAGACCCATGCTGACACGGTGCGCACTTGTGCCTGGCGTCCTCTGGGGCGTCCTTCAGAAGTTAACTCTCTACTGTGCCCATTTAACAAATGGGTGAGGAGAGGCACAGGCGGGCTCAGCGATCTTCACGCGCAGAGACTATGCCCTTGGCCTCCACACTGCTCCTGTAGCCCCTGTAGCTGGCGATACGGGTGGGCCCTTGGCCGAGTCCTGTGCTACCCCTGCCACTTGTCCCCTGGAGGCCAGGTCATGTCGCCCACCATGGTAGGGACCTTGTCTGGTCCTGTGCTCTCTGCCAGTGCCTGGTGCCACACCTGCATGAAGCAGGGCTGCCCCTGGGACATGGGCCAAGCCTGTCACACTGCGAACTCTCTGTGGGCGGCGCCCGTGCATGTAGACCGGGCACCTGCCGCTGTCCCTCACGCCTCTCCTCGGCACGGCCTGTCTTGTTTGCCAGGCCAAGATCGTGCACGTGTCACTGGACGGCCTGCGTGTCTCTCCTGCTGAAGGCTTTCTCATCCGGAAGGGCCCTGGCAACTGCCACTTTGATTTTGCTCAGGAAATCCTCTTTGTGGACTACCTGCAGGCTGGGCCACCGCCCCCGCTGGCCAGGAGGTGAGGGACAGGACGCCAGGTGGGACACCCTGCCCGTCCGCACCACTCTGAAGTGTGGACCCCCGAGGTTCTGAAATGATCAAACGCAGTGCTTTTCAACTTGGCCGTTTTCTAAAGCTCAGCCAAGCCTCCGCAGACGCCTGTGGGGTGAACCCTCCTCGTCTGGGGCTGTTTGGGTTTTTCACAGTCTGGAGTGCTTAAGATTTTAAATGCTTCACTGCGTTTCCTGCTGGGAAAAGAGGCCACAGCCTGCCTCGATTCCAGAAATGCCCGCTGGCCGGTTCGGGTGAGGGCTTTCCTTCTCTTGTTTCTATGTTCCTTATTTTAAGATTCAAGAGAGAAAAATAGAGTCTCACATTTCATGGGCTTGCTGGGCTTTCCTGGCCCCAGTCTGCCACATGGAGTTGATAATGATTTGTAAATGCCACGTTACGTTTACTCATTTAAACCCTGGTGTCCAAACGCCAGAGGCCAACCTCTCGGAATGAAATGAGTTTCCCTGCCATAGGCCAGATCTCTTCCTGGGCCGGGCACTGGGCACAGTCATGCCATTGTGGCATTGCCCTTGACATGGAAGGAAACCCAGGCTGGGCTGGTGGCACCCACAGCAGGCCGGGGAGGGAGGCCAGGAGGGAGTGGGGGCAGAGCTCGACGCCTTAAGCTCCACTGCCTTTTGTCCACCCTCTAAGGCGCCTTCCAGCCATCCTCCCTGCAAGGAGGATGACGTGCCTGTTTTACAATGTGGGAACTGCAGTCCTTTGCCTGGGTCTGTGAGGCCACGGCTGCCCTACCTCTGCCCATGGGCCAGCCTTTCTGGCTGCTTCCTGGTCAAGCACCTCCCACTCCCTCAGCCCCTCCCCACCTCTGCCACTGCTCTGCCTCATCCCATCCGGCCTGTCACCAGCCGTGGACTGTGCCAGCTAGTGGGGGGGGGGCTGACAGTGGGCCGGACTCAGACCGGCCTCATGCCAGCGTCGCACCCTGACTGACTCCAGCCCCATCTGCGCCCGAGGCCCTGCTCACACCTCAGGTTGTTGGAGGAGGCAGGGTCCCTATCAGTGACTCGGCTGCCTACTGCCACCTTGCCGGTGACTGTCTTCGAGACCCTGAGCCTCCCCAGAGAGGAGGCGGACACTGGGCTGCCACAGTTCTACAGAGCCCACTGTCTGGGAGTGACAGACAGACTGGTGACTTTGGCTGCGTATGACCTTGGGCTGTTTTGTGTTTCTCCAGGCTGGACACGAGAGGCCTGGAGCGGGCAAGCATGGACTACGAGGCCCCGCCCATGCCATGCGGCTGTATCCTCTCCTCCTGCCACCAGTAGGGCCAGCTGGGGCAGGGAGCCGAGCAGACTGAGGGCCATGCGGGGAAACCGAGGCAGAGGAGGTTGGGGTTCCCCTGTCCTCAGATGCACGGGTGCTGCTGGCACTGAGGTGGCAGCAGCAATTCTGGGCCCCAGGAGAGGGCGGCAAAGCTGAAGCTGGCCCTGGGCATGTGGGGGGTGGCGGCCTGTAGTCAGGAAGAGGGGAGCACACACAGGAGCTGCAGGTTCCTGCCCACGACTGGTACCTGGCCACAACTCTGAGCACATTGTGTTCACACAGCCCTCAGAACAGCCACCCTGGGGACCAGGGACAGGGGACAGGGGACTGCTGGCATTCACACTCCACTAACAAGGGCACGAAGCAGAGAGGCCAGGTGACGCGCAGGGCTGCACAGCTGGGAAGGGCAGGGGCACTGGCAAACCAGTGGCTGGCTCTCTGGCCCCGTTCCTGGCTCTCCTGTTCCAGAAAGACTGTGGCCACCCCGTGGTCGCCCGGAGTCGCTGCCTTTGCCCCTGGAGTGCTTGAGTGCGCAGGAAACAACCCACGCGAGAGCTTCCTGTCCGGCAGTCTGTCCCTTAGCGACACCCGTCACTCCGCCATCCCCCGCCCCCCAGGGCTCATGAGCCCCCTGCATACTTCAGAGGGACAGAGATGCCTCAGACCTAAAGGAAGAGCGGCTTGCGTTGGCTCACGGTTTAGAAATTCCCGTGTGTGTTGAGGCCTAAACACAGAGGCCTGGCCAAAGGAGCGGTGCTCGTTGAGAGACCAGGGAGAACCAGAGAAGGGAGGAGAGGGAGACACGCCCTCCCAGGTCACACCCGTGACTGCCCTGACACTTTAGCCGCAGCGACCTGCGACCCCCTCAGCCCAGGAGGCTGCGGGCACCTCCAGGTGTAAGCCGTAACAGGGCCAGAGCGGGCAGCAGGCGCTCTGATCTTGGCATTTACAGCCAGGGAAACTGAGTCACGAGACAAGAGCCATGGATAAGCCGGTGACACGGGTACCTGGCCACCATGTCTGCTCCTGGCCCCTCTCCTGGGCCCCTGAGAAAGGTGCTGAATCCACCCCTGGCCCTTGAAATGAACAAAAGTGTGACGCACCTGTGTTCTGGTAGCTTCCATCTCCATGAAAGGAAACTGCCTTCCTTCCTGTAGCATAGCTGCGCCCCGCCCAGATCCCTGCCGTCTTCGTCCTTGTTTTACTTCAATTTCCAGAAGACTGAGTCTCTTCTCCTTAACCGCACGCCCAGTTATATTCCAGTTCCAGCTCCTGACCAGCTGGGGCGACCCCTACTACATTGGCCTCACCGGGCTGGAGCTGTATGACCAGCAAGGACAGAAGATCCCCCTGTCGGAGAACAGTATCCTTTCTGGGCCAGGATGGGGGTGGGAGGCCAGCGAGAGCCCCACGCAGGCAGGGAAAAGTCCCTCAGGGAATCTGGGACCTGGAATTAAAAGTGCCCCTGGCCTTAGGGGGAGGAAAACGGGCACCCCCAGGCACACCTGCCAGGGCAGGATCCCACAGCCTCCAGCCCCACCCCAGCCGAGAACCACTGGTGCTCTGGAATTCTAAAGGCTCTGATAAGGTCCGCGAGGAGAAACCTCTAGCACTGTGTTTTGATTTATAAGCTATGGGACTCCTTGCCCACGGTATGTCCATACCGGAACCAGCAGGCTGCTGGCCCAGTGAGCGCTGAAGCACTTTAAGTTCCTTGCCACAGTGTTTCAAAGAGCCGATCCCTGCTTTCTCTTGAGAAACGGGCACTGCTGTGTGGGCCAGCCACACAGCGGCGGGCCGAGCGGAGCTTCCACTGCCCTTCCTGTCACCCTCAGTCCTGGAATGTATTGTTCATGCTTACTGTGGGCTCACTGCCGGGCACTGTGCCATTCACAGGGCCTCATTTGCCAGCGTGGAGGAAAGAAGGAGGTTGGGGTCCCTACCTTCCAAAGGAACAGCTGGGGCCCAGAGAAGCTGCCCGCCCCGCCCAATGCTGCACAGCCAGGCTGGCTGCAGAGCCGGGGCCTGACCACCGAGCCATCCAGCCTCTCTTCTATGTAACCTGGCAGGGCCCTTGGTGTTCTAAGCCACCGCAGGCTGGGATGCGCAGGGGCACGGCAAAGCCAAAGCCAGGCCCCTGGTCCATCTCTCCCTTCTGCCAGAGCCCTTGACCCCACCCAGCCAGCTGGATCAGGTGGCCCTGACTTTATTTTGTACTGGGGATTGTACCCGAGCCCTGAGCCCATCCCAGCCCCATTTCTGTGTCTGGGAGAGGGTCTCCTTAGGTCACTAGGCTGCCCAGGCTGTGCTCAATCCTCCTGCCCCAGCCTCCCCGAGTAGCGCGACCGCAGGTGTGAGCCACCGTGTCAGGCGCCCTCATGTCATCTGTGGTGGTTGCTTGGAGGCGTGTGTAAGGCATGGGCAACCTTGCCGCGAGGGCCTCGCAGCCTGCCTTCTGCCATTCATGTATCCATTCTGGCTTGGTTTTGCGTCTTTTTGAGACAGTCTCACTCTAGTCCAGGACAACCTCCAACTCACTGTGTGGCCTAGGCCGGCGGAGACTCCCAGTGATCCTCCTGCCTCAGCCTCCCAGTGCTGGGATTACAGGCATGCCCCACCATGCCCAGCCGCGTATCCATTCTGGACACAGACGTTTTTGCACCCAGTTTACAGATAAGACGAGTCCCCTGCCGTCCCCAGATTCCCAGGGTCGTAATGGCTGAGCCAGGCTGGATCCAGGTTCTGCAGTCACAGCGGCACCACTTGCTGAGTAGGACAGGCTGCCCTTCCCGCCACCCGACCTGTGGTGGCCTCGTCACACACCAAGGCGAGGCCCAGCCAGCCCCAGTCCCTGTGGAGAGGATAGGCCACAGCGCTGGCCCGGGTTCCTGCTGCAGTTCCAGGAGCCCCAGCCCCTCCTGTACTGCGCCCCAGTGGGCCTGATTTAGCTTCGAGCAGCAGCTGCTGACCAAGCAGCCCCCACCCCCACCCCAGGCAGCGTGTCTTGCCCATCGCGTGGCTTCAGGTTGTGGCCACTTAGCCGCCTTTGCAGATATCGCTGCCTTCCCTGACAGCGTGAACGCGCTGGAGGGAGTCAGCGGGGACGTGAGGACCCCTGACAAGCTCATCGACGAGGTGAACGACACCAGCGATGGCAGGCACATGTGGCTGGCCCCCATCCTGCCAGGCCTGGTGGGTTCCCAGGGCAGCAGCCTCAGCTCATGGCCAGGGGTGGTGGGGGACGCTCAGTCCCTGGGTCAGTGGCACATCTGGCTCTCTTCTGGGACAGGTCAGGCTGCTCTGCTGGCATGTCTGTAACCAGCATTGGGCTGCTAGAAAGGAGTGCTGGGGGTCGCGGGGACACCTGTAGCCCAGGGGAGCAGGCCTGAGGGCACAGGCACCCGCCGGCCCGCTGTCGTCACCTGCTGGCTCCCGTCCGCCTCAGTTCTCTGCCGTCTCCTCCCCACTCCTGCGCCTCCTTGCTTCCTGCCCATCTGCCCACGGTGTGGCTTCCGCCGTCTCTGACCCCAGGTCTGCCCTGTCGGCCCTTCTCACTGCTGTCAGAGCCCGCAGTGGTCCTGCTTGTCCTTTGCTCCAAAGCCTCATGGTGAGCCTTGAACCAGGCTTCACCTCCAGCCCGGGCCGGGCTCCTGACGGAGAGGATGGGTCAGTTAGCACCCGTCCCTCGCCTCGCATCCTGGGGCCAGGTGCCTGTTCCCAGGTGCACAGAGGCTGTGGCACACCTGCCCCCTCCTGCTTAAGTGACAGGAGATGTGGGGCATTTTCCTCTGAAAACCCTCATAGAGAGGGGCAGCGGCAGCAGTTGGATGACCCATGTTGGTCAAAGGCCACCCTCAGATAGGGCTGTAGAGTGTGCCCCAGTGTCCCCTGTGCTGGGGTGGGCCCTTAACCCCAGCCCTGCCTGCAGAGGGGAAGTTGGAGCCCATTTGGGCCTCAACCCGGCTGTGGTTCAGGCCCTGCTGCCAGCTTTCCCAGGAAGGCCTGAGGTGCTGCCCCACCCTGGCCTCTCAGTCCCAGCCAGATTCCCACATTCACATCGGCTTGATTCCCGGGAGGAGGAGGCCCCGGCCCTGACCACACGTCCTTCCTGCCCCAGCCAGAGGCTGATGTCCCCAGCTGCAGCTGGGAACCCACCCGAATGCTTATTTCTTTATTTGGTCTTGCAAGGGGTGGGACGAGGAGGAGGAGCCTCTTTGGGCTCCTTCTGCAGCTGGGTCTGTTCCCAGGGCAGGCTCTTCCTGCAGAGGTTCAAAGCCAGGCACTGACAGTTACCCGGAGGCGCCTCTTTGCTTTACTTTTCATTTATGCTTCCGAGAAAGGACAAGCAGGGGTCAGGCCATGCAGACTGCTGAGCGGGGGGCGCCTGACTGGAGTTGAGCACCGTCCCTTCAGCTGGCCAGCTGTGGAGCATCGCTCTATTTCTGGGCCTGCCCTGGAGCGAGGGGAAGGTCGAGGACTATTCCCCGGTCTGCATCGCTGTGTAAATGAGGGCCACAGTGACCCAAGGAATCAGACCCTCCAAGAGCCAGCTCAGCGGTTTGTTGCAAACGCAGCCACACGTGACCAGACTGGAGATGGGCTGGAGGAGGTGGAAGGCTGCGGGACTCAGGCCGGCCCTGCGTGGGCAGCGCTACCCCCAGGGCACCTGGGCCCAGCCCCTGCCCGGCCCCGCCCCGCCCCGCCCCGCCCCACCAAGCGCCTATTTGCAAACCTGCACATTTTAATTAGCCCCACTTTCTATCAGGTGAATCGGGTTTATGTGATTTTCGATCTACCCACCACCGTGTCAATGATCAAGCTGTGGAATTATGCGAAAACGCCCCATCGAGGGGTGAAGGAGTTTGGCGTAAGTACTTATTAGCTGGGCTTGGGAAATAATTATGATCGCTGGTAATTAGGCTGCTGGCAATTATCATGTGTCGCAGTTTGATTTACTTCCCTCTGCTGCAACCTTAGACACAGCGCCTAGTGTACAGATCCCCACCCCGCTGTGAATCCAGAGCCATCGGCTCCTTGTCACTCTGGAAACACAGGAGGCGGCTGTCCTCAAGGTTCCCCGTGGAGTCACACTGGCTTGGGGAGGGACTGGGAAAGATAGCAGGGACCCTGGGGTCAGAGACCAAGTTTGCCTCACAGCTCTGCCTCTTGGACTCCTGTCTTCAACAATGCAAGGCCCTTGAGTCCCAGCTTCCACGTCTGTGGCCTGGGCGCAGGCCTGCCCTAGCTGAGGGTCACCGTGCACGTTGGCACATAGTGACACCTGCCAGCTCTGTCCCAGAGGAGAACCCTGGGCCCCGAGCGCTGACCCCCAAGGCTCTGCGTGGGATCCGCAGGCTCCCTGAGCGCCTCCTCTGTCTGCCCAGCTCCTGGTGGACGACTTGCTCGTGTACAACGGGATCCTGGCCATGGTGACACACCTGGCAGGGGGCATCCTGCCCACCTGTGAGCCCACAGTGCCCTACCACACCATCCTTTTCACGGAGGACATGGATGTGTGTCATCAGGAGAAACGTACGGCTATCAGGTATGTCCCCAGCAGCGCTAACGAGAACAGATGGCCGGGACTCTAGGCCCGGAGCCGGATCAATCTCCTGCTCCTCCTGCAGTAATCAGGCGGAGGACCAGGACGTCCAGATGATGAATGAAAACCAGGTCATCACCAACTCCAAGAGGAAACCAAGCACGGCAGATCCAGGTGGGCCCCCAGCCCCAGCCGGGACTTTGGAATGGACAGAGGGGCTGGTGTCCCTGCACAGCACTCTGACCCCGCCCGCCTGGGCCCTTCCTCCACCGGGCAACTGCTGAGGCTGGGACCTGCTTCCCTGGAGGAAAGGTCAGGGGCAGTCATGCTGTGCCTGGGGCCCTGCCCTGCACCATGGGGAGCACGTCCCGGGGAGATGAACTTCGGGCCCTACAGGAGGCCAGGTGTGTGCCGGGCCAAGCGAGCAAGGCCTGGGGTCACACGTCAGAGTCCACTCCAGGCCTGGGACAGGGCCAGCACGCCAGGTGCCTGGGGCTTGGGGTGGGGGTGGGGGGCTGCAGGTGGTGACCCCAGGGTGCAAATCACAGTCCAGGCGGTGGGATTTCCCTGCAGACGTGGGGCTGGCTCACCCTGCTCCCTCTGTCCTCTGCCTTGACAGCCTTGCGCCCCAAAACCTGCATAAGTGAGAAGGAGACGTCGAGGCGGTGGCGGTGCTGAGGGCAGGAGAGCCAGCCTCGTCATCAGTGTCATTGGCATAGGACCCAGGACCGGAAGAGCATCACAGCGTGAAGAGACGGGGCACCTGCGTGACTGGGGGACAGCAGCCCCGGGAGCTGCGGGGCTCAGACGGGGCGGGGCGAGGCAGCGCCCTGTCCTCAGGGTCCTCGGGGAGCGAGGCCCTGGGGAAATGACCGCTCACCAAGCCTGGGACAGGGTCAGCCAGCGCCATGTCCTGCTGGAGACAGGAAGGGACAGACGCAGGCCCAGGAGGTGGAGGACAACTAGAGGAGGGCCACACCGGGGATCTGAAGGGCGCTGTCCTCACCCTCTCCCTGTCCCTCCTCTAGGGACCCTTGGAGCCAGCCTGAGGGCCTCTTTGCCCCCTCCCTAGCCGCTTCCCAGTGGATTGGAAATGTGCCTTGCACCCCGGCCGGCCGGGCGGCCCGGAGCACATCTATTTCCATCTCTGTAACAAGCTCGGATCAGGGACCTAATTGGTTTCCCAGTGGTGGGTAATTTCTCGTTCCCAATATTAATCCGCTGTTTTCTGGCTCCCAGCCCGCCGCACAGCGCTGTACTCCGCGCGTTCCTACGCAACCACCCGAGCCGCGCATGCTTCCTGAGCTTCGCAGCGCAGCTATGCAAATGCGCTCTTCATTGGGCGCGCGGGGCTGGTGCGAGGGAGGCAGTGGCTCCTCCCCAGCAGCTCCAGCTCTGCTGTAGTTTCCAGGCGCCCCTTGCTCCGGCTCCTCTGTGCCCAGCTGTGCCAGGCTCCCCGGACCTCGGGGCTCCCGGGAGAGCTTCCGCCTGGGGAGTCAGGAGCTGAGCAAACCAGTTCTTAGCACCAAAACCAGTGTCCGGGCTTCAAAGGGAGCCCCCCACCCCCACCCCCGCCGCCTGGGGCGAGGGTAACAGATTTATCGGGAGCCCCTGCAAACACAGCCCGAGCTGTCCCCACGGCCCACGGTTGGCGTTTATAATAATTGTCCGTACCATGCAATTTAGGAGGGAAGAAAAAGCTGTACAGGCATTAACTCTAAAATAAATTTCTATTTTTTTTCTCTTGCAAAATCAATAAAAGATGTTATTCAGAATAGAATGTGGTACGCTGGATTTGGGGTCAGACCCAACGAGTCCATTTGAAACCGGATGAGCAGTGCGGGCTCTGAGCTCCCTCCTCCTCCTGCAGAGGGTGCCGTGACCCTGACCTGGCCTGCTCAGTAAATCCCACCGTGCCCGGTAGACACGCCATCGGAGCCCGGCGTACCCATGAGAGGCCTGTGGGGTAGGTTCTGCTCTTACCCTCCTGTTACACAGCGGGGCTGAGGCCCAGAGAGGGTGTGTGACTTTCTAAGGATGCACAGCTTTGGAGGCTGTTCCTGTGCGAGATTGTAAGACAATCATCAGGTAGCTGAGACAGGGCGTGTGTGTGTGTGTGTGTGTGTGTGACAATCCTGTGGGTCTTTGCTCCTGGGTGTGGGTGCTGGGGTACCATCCCTCAGGAGACCTGATTTCTCCCTCCTGCGCCCCTCACCCCTGCTTCCTTCAGGGCAGTGTGGGTGGCCCTTGGCTTCTGGATGAGGTAGCCCTGGAGCCCAGTCAGAGTGCAGCTGGGCAGTGGGGTTTCTGGCCTCGGGCAGCAGGTCAGAGGGCTCTTCACATGCCACAGATACTATGGCGAGAGAACAGGCTGTCTGGGGAAGCCCGCCCCTGTGCACAGCCCTCCGAGCTCCTGAGGAGACTGAGGGCTCCTGTGGCGCTCTGCCGCCTGGAGCTGGAAGCGCCCTGGGAACCCCGGAGATGGAGATGAAGGGTGTCGGGCCCTCAGTTCCCCTCAACCCTGCAGGACCCCCATTGCTTGGGGCCCAGACCTGCAATCCCAAGGCACTGGGGCAGCCAGAGCACCTGCCACGCGCAGAGCCATGTGTTCAAGGGTTTCTGAGAAGCCAGGTGCCCAGGTTTTCTACTAGTAATGTAACATGTGGCTTCTCACTCAGTGTAAGCAAACACACAGCCAAGTGCCAGCCATCCAGAGGCCTACCATGGGGCAGCCTCCATCCCGGCTCCTTCCCCTGGGGACACCACCCTGGCTCTGCTTCCAACCACCACCCAGGGCTCCCGTGCATGGGGCTGTGTCCTTCTAGCCATCTCCTAGGAGGAGAAAGGACAGAGGAGGTGTCCCTGTCCAGCCCCTTCTGGAGAGAGACAGATCCTCCAGGGATGATCCTTGGGTCTTAGAGGTAGTAGCCTCCATCTTCAGCTGTTGTGAGGAACAGCGGGGTTCCTCCCATTGCAGCCCCCAATCTGTGCATCCCACCCCCAATCTGTGGTCCCCCAGGCTGCAGCTGTTGGACCTGTGGACTCAGCCCTGGCTGACAGAGACTCAGGAAGAGTAGGCAGGGCTCCCGGAGCACCGGGCCATGCGGCCTTCTGTCCTGCAGTGGGAGGGACCCAGCCCGGAAGGTCCCACCCTGCAAGCAGCCCCTCCTTGGGCTTCGCTTCCTGCCTGTCCCAGGGCAGAGATAATAGATGCCTGTGGCTCCAGGCTCCCCTGGGGAGTGGAGGGGTCCACAGCCCAGAGGCTCAGTCCACAGGGCCTCTGCATCTAGGCCACGTTTAAACCTGAAAGATAATTGCCTTCCTGTCCCATCTGGGTTCACACTGGAATTCAGCTCCCCAGCTTCTTGGGGCTGGAGCAGAGGCAGGGAATGGGCTCAGAGGGGCAGGACAGGGAGGGGACAGTGCTTCAGGCCGGTTGGGCCCCCAGAGCTCTGTCCAGGCCCTGGGACTCATTCAGCCAGCTGAGCAAGCCAGGGTGGGGCCGGGGATGGCGAGCAGCGCTGGGCTTCAGCCCATGTGCTGTGTCCCCAAGGGCCCGGGGATCGTCTCCCTGTGGTGTGGGTGAGTCCAGGGTCTGCGAGCCCCTCTGCTGTCCGGGTCAGCATTTCTGACCTTCCTGCCTCTCCTGGGAACTGCCCCGCTCACAGCCCTGTGCAGTCTTATTTTGTGACAGTGACAACCAAGGCACTAGGAAGGAACACACAGGAACCCCTGAGCCGCTGTAGGTGCCCAGCGGGCCCACCGAGGAAGGTGCCTGGGATGACACTGAGTCCGTAGCTGCAGTGTGGGGGTGGGGGTGTGCCAAGGTCCTGGGCCGGCATGCCCAGGAGCAACTTCCTGGCTGTGTGACCTTGGCGAGTAGCCTCACGCTGGCCTCAGCTTGTCTGCTCGGCGGGCATCCCTCCACCCTGGACTGCAGCCCTCTGGGGTCGGGTGGTGAAGGATACACACTCCCGGTCTCCCCGGTACCCTCACTGCACCGGGACTCGGCCCAGATGTGAAAAGGCTGGGCCCGTCCCCAAGCAAGGTAGTTCCCCCTCCCACTTTCCATCTTCTAGAAATTTCCAGATGCAGCCAACTGGCCCATAAAAGGAAGGGGGTCTTAGAGCCGCCTTCCCACTAGCTAAGGTTCAGCCCACCCTCCTCCTGCTCACTGATGCGCCTCCCCTAACCACTGCCCCACTCCTCCCCCCACCTGCCGCCCAGCCCCTCCCCTACCTGCCTGCACCCCTTAACCCTCCCCTACCCCCCGTCTGTGCCCTGTCCCCACACAGCCCAAAAGTTCCCAGGAGTAAGCAAGGAGGTGGGTGCCCCTGGCTCCAACTGCTGGGCCTCTGGCCACAAAGCCTGTCCCATGGCCCTTACTCCCCTGTGTCCCTACAGCCACTCGGAACACCAGCTGAGCCCTTGCGTCCTGTAGGGTGAGGGCTGACAGTGTCGAGCCTAAATGAAACATGGCCCACAGTGAATCCCAGGTAGAGGGGTGTGGCTTTTCCCCGGGGCTGACGGCTGCTCCCTGCAGCCTTGCCACGGCCCAGCCTGGGTGACTGCACCCAGCTCTCTGCCATTGGACCCTGCCCAGGAACAGCTCAGGCCCCGCACCCACAGCCATGGCTCCCTCCTGCATGTCGCTGTGTCTGGGGTGGGCAGAGACATTTTTCATACTGTGCTGACTTGTAGGCACCATGAGCTCCCCCTCCACGGACCCTTGTGCCCTGCTGTGTCCCCGGCCCACCCAGCGCCAGAGCCCGGCCTGGCACAGGCTCCTTTTCTGCCTGCCATCATCTCCTGCAGCCACAGATCCGTCTTCTCAGAAGCTTCTGGCTCCCCAGTACCCTGAAGCCTGAGCCACCGGCATCCCCCACCAGGACCACGGCAGCTCCCCCTGCTGCCCAGCCTCCCCCACGCCCTCTGTGCAAGTCCTTCCACCACGTGGTCTGAAGAAAGCTCCCAAATGCAGTGCCGTTCAAGTCTGCTGCCCGACCCCTTCTGCGAGCAGCTACTGCCAGCCCCAGGTGAAGGACATGGTCCTCGCTGTCGCCCACGAGGCCAGGGCTGCCTTCGGATCCCCCCACCCCCGCAGGACAGCAGCAGCTCTCCTGGGATGCCCCAAGCTCCGAGCATGCTGTCCTGCCACTGTGCCGCACAGCCCCGTGGGCCTGGCCCCACCTGGGGGTTTGTGCACGCTGCTCTCCTGTCTGCAAGTCAGCTTGTCACTTCCTGCCTCAGCCTTCAGTGAGGACACAATGACCCTTTATCAGAGGGGCGCCCTCTGCCCCTGGCTCTCCTCACCATTAGATCCTTATTATGTAGGGCTAACAGCATGACCTCTGTCTGCTGCGAGGTGGCAGACGCTGGTGATAGCGGTCTGTTCCTGGTCCCATGGCCCATCCTACTCCCAGTGTGGCTGCTGGTACAAGACAGGCCCTGGGTAACTACTTCCTAATGGAGGAACCACAGCAGGTCTGCGGTGGGCACGGGCCTTGAACCCAGGCTGGTCTGTCTGTAGCCTGGTGCTGTCTGGTGTCCTCGCCCCCACCCTCCCAGGAGCTCATCCCAGGGGCTGAGCCTCCCTGGCCGGCCTTGTCCTCAGGCTGCCGCAGACAATGCCCATGAATCAAGCTGAAGTTTCCATTACCCAGGAGATGCGTGTGTGGTGTGTGTGTGTGTGTGTGGGGGGATGGTGGCAATGACCGCTTGTCACCGCCCCCAGCCAGCAAGTTAGCCTTGTCACTTACGAGAGACCCAGGCTGGCCCATTAGCCCTCAGTTAGGAAAGGACCGGGCTGCAAGGTTCCTCCGCACTGCACCGCGAGCACAGGAGTCCGTGCCGTGCGTGTGCAGAGCCCCCGCTGTGCGTGGGAGTGCCCGGGACCAGCATGCCCACGCCACCACTGCAAGCAGAGGCCCTGGCTCCTGCTGTACTCCAGCAGCCTCAGGGGCAGGCCGGGTAAGGGGAGGCCAATGGCGCCCTTGGCCAAGGTCAGCCTGGGGCACCCTTATGCACAGGGCCCAGGGCACAGCGAGGCTGGTGTGCAGCTGGGCCAGGGACAGCTAGCTGATTCACAGGGGTTCTAAGAGAAGGCCCGTGCAGAGTGGCCCCGGGACAGGGGCAGGACCGGATGAGCAGGTGGGAGGACAGGAGCACACCTAGGACCATGCTTGCCAGGCGCAGGAACAAGGAGCTGGCAGAGCTGTTTGCCAGGCCAGAGGGAGGGACCTTTGCTTCCCCTCTGCACCCATGTGACCCCCGGGGTCTCTCCCTCCTCCCCAAGTCAGGCACAGCAGCGTGAAGATGCCCCTGCAGTAACTGGGCAATCAGAGCTGTTTCTCGCCCAGCCTGCTCGAGGGACTTCCGGTTATCTGGCCGGCGACCTTGTGCAGCAGAACACAGCCCCTTCCCAAGCGCACCCAGGGGACACAGAAGGCCCCGCAGCCCAGGACCCCAGGACCCGCCCTCCCTCAGGACAGTGGTCCTGGTTTGAGCAGCCCACAAACCATAACTGCATATACCCACATGAGTATTTATTTAATGTTTTTCTTTAAGCCAACTCTTTCTCTGAGCTGAAATGCCTATTTTGCTTTCATCCTAAGCAGTAACATCTGTGAATTCACTGAGGTGCCTGTTTATACATTTTTTTCTAATACACATTGACATAAACACAACTATTAAAATAAATTAAAATTTTGCCTGTGTGTTGGCTAAAGTCATCTCCCGGACCTCCTGGGGCCACTTACCAACTTCAGAAGGACGCTGGGTGACAGTAAAGAACTCTGAGATGCCCAGCAGCCCTGGGCCAGGTCCCCACCCCCATGTCCCTGCCCAGCCTGCGGCTCCTTCCTGCTCAGGGCCTGAAGTCCAAGGCCTGCATGACTGGGACAGTCTCCCTGACCCAGTCTAAGGTACCACTGAATTAATGAAAGGTGATTCACACGCCACTCACTTGACCAATTAATGCATGAATGAAGGAATGCACACACATCCATCGGCTGTCCCCTTAAGGCCTCTGACATCTCCATCTTCCCCAGCCCTGTACTCACCCCCTAAGCTGAGTCACAGCTGCTGTCCCCTCCTGCCATGCCAGTTCTCCCCAGTCCCTGATGGTTGTCCCCACATCTAGCATCAGAATCTGCCCACCTGGTCCTCAGGGCCACCACCAAAAAACGATCTCTGTCCTCTAGTTTCTGGGGTGGCCAGGACAGAGTGAGGAGCCTCTCACATCTGCTCCGTGCCGGAGCCTGGTGTCTTCCTAACATGCACAGCTGGGCACATCTCTGGGGGCACTGCTGCCCCCTGGGATGGGCCCCAAGCTCCCTGGTCAGGCCCAGGTCCCGCCTGGCCCACGGCATCACCCCTGCAGCCCGTCCCCACTGCCCTCCTTCTCTCTGCAATTTATCTGCAATTCCTGTGCCCTCTGCGCTCTTGCTGGTCTGGCCCCTTGATAGCCTGCATGCCTTGGCCTCTGTGTCATTTCCCCGAGGGAGCCCCCCCGACCATTGCCCTCAGCAGGGGCTGCCTGTCAGCTCCTCCAGCCCCGGAGCCCCCTCAGCCATTACTGAAGCCTGTTCTACGCGCCCAACGCCAGCCTGCTTAACCTTCACCTCGCCTTTCGAAGGAAGGCATAGGCATGATCTGTACTGCATAGATAAGAAAACCAAGGCACAGAGATCAAGTGTGCCCAAGGTCTTCAGTGGGAGAAAACCAGGAATTGGAGGCTGGCCCTTGAGCAGGCACCATGGCGCTCCGCACACAGAACTATCCTCCTCTGTCTCATCACTGGCCCTGTCTTTCATGGAGTGCTTCTGCCCCCATCTATGGCACTTGGCACAGAGGAGCACAATGAGTCCCATCACAGGAAGGATGGATGTACAGATGGATGGCTGAATAAGGAGGGTGTGTGTGTGGAGGGATGAAGGCTAGAGGCCTAACACAAGGAAGAGTGGAAAGCAACGGTGCAAGATGGAGGGATGGAGGTTGGAAAGGCGGGTGGGTGGGCGGATGCACGGATGGATGGTTGGATGCACGGATGGATGTGTGGGTAGGTGGGTGGAAGGATGGATGGATGGGGGGTGGTGATGAATGGGTAGGGGGATGGATAAATGATGGATGGGTAGGTCAGTAGGTAGATGGATGATGGATGGATGGATGGATGGATGGATGAGTGAAGGAGAAGAACAATTCTACTTGGTAGAAAGCTCTAGAAATTTTTCTGGGAAGGAAGCCTCTTGGGAAACTGCAGTTGGCGTCAGGGTTCTGGTTCAAACCCAGCTCTGCCATTTGCTATTTCTGTTATCTTAGGTGAGCTACTTCATCTCTGTTATCCCTCATTTTTATAATAGGAGTCAGTCCTATTTTGTGTAAAGGTGGCCCTAGACACAGGGCGAAGTGTCCTCCTGGGGGTCCCTCTTTGCCCACCCTCTAGCATCCAGGGCAGCACTGCCAGCCCATGTCCATCCTGCCTGCCCCAAGGCCCAGGCGGCCCTGGCCTCAGCACACACAGACTCTCACCTTCAGGACCGTGGGGGTGACAGGGTGAGGGGTCACAAGGAGCAGCTAGCTCCATACACTGCAAGCAGACAGTCCAACCAGCATTTATTGAGCCCCTGCCGCGTGCCTACCGTGTGGCCTCCTCCTGAAGCCCCCCTCCCTGTCCCCACAGGGCCCTGCCCTTCTGGACACCTTCTCAGCCCCCTGGCTGGCTTGTGAGTGCCCAGCATTTGGTGGTGAGTGTCCAGGGGCTTCCCTGACATCCCGGCTGCACCCCACAGGGCTGCGGTGCAACAGCGGCAGGAGGTCCAGGCTGCATCCCCAAGTTCCTCTGCGCAGTCCTGTGCGACCCTCAGGCCCTCTGGGCCTCTTATCCAGGACCCCGAGACCCAGCAGCGTGGCAGGACAGGCCTGGTGTCTCCTCGGCTGACAGTGGAGTCCACCACACACAGGCCGGGCTCCGGGGCACCGTCTGCCGGAGCTCTGGGGGCCGGGCTGCGTCTCCTCACACCCAGTGCCCCAGGACCCAGCACTGGCGGCTCAGCTCTGGCACCTCCTGTGCTGAACTCCGGGGCCAGGAATCCGCCATGTGCAGCTGATGTCCTGCAAGAGAGAAGGTGGCCAGTGCCGCGGTCCTTCCTCCACCCACACCAGCCACCGAGTCCCCAGCCACCTGCTCCACGCCCTCTTAGCAGCGCACAGCACCCTGAGCTCATGGGCACAGAGGCACCCTCCAGCATATGCTGCCATCCGCAGACAGATGCAGTTGTGCCCCCCCCCCGTACCCTGAGCCCCTCCCCCGCCCCTCCCTCTGCCTTCCTGTACCCCACCATGTTGCCCAGGAGCACACTGGCCACTTTCTGCTCCATATCCACTAGCCTCCACCCACCCACCCACGCTCCCAGCCCCCCTCACTGGCCCATCCCTTCACGACTCCCCTAACGCCCGCCCATCTGGGGTCTCCTGCCCCCTATCAGCTGCCCTCCTGTCCCCACATCCACCATCTTCCCTCTCCTTCCCTTTCCACCCCTTCCCAGCCAAGGCCCTAGGTACCCCTTCCTCAGTCAGCCCCGGCCCAGCTTCCGGTGACCTCTGAACCCTCCACCACCCATGTGGCCAAGGGAGCTCCCTGGAGCCCTGGACACTCCCTGTTCCATAGACCAGCTCCCTCCCGCAGCAGCCTGTGTGCCAGGCAGGGCACAGAGATCCCGCAGACACACCCTGCCCACTGCTCTCAGAGCCTGGCAGGACACGGCCCCAGCAGGGCTCTTTGGGGGCTCCTAACACACCAGACCATTCACCTTCTTGAACCCACCAACTTATGTTCACTTCCTGCAAAGCCCCCTGGACCCATCTTCTGCTCCTGCAGGGGTCTCCCCCCATCCTACACCCCTCCCTGAGGGGAGGCACACTCTCCAGCAGCACCCAGGAGGGCAAGGTTAGGGCCCACGGTGGCCGCTCTGTGGGGTCAGAGATGGAAAGAGGGAAGCCCAGGAGGAACAGAAAGGCACTGTGGGCGTGGAGGGCAGGAACAGGAAGCAGCGACAGGGCCTTGCATGGCTGCTTCCGGTCATCCCGAGGACACGCCCCCAAGATGGCAGAGCCCCGGGGTACAGGAGGGAGCAAGGCCAGTGATGGTAGGTCGCAGTCTGAGGATTCACAGCTGCTGGGGGGTCAGATGGGATTAACTTCTTCCTGGTTTCAGTCCTCAGCATTGAAAGAAATCTGTTCCAGGTCACTTAATTTTCCTACTGAGTGGTCATGGATGCTGACCACAAGGCCAGCCAGGGTTGTGCAGCAAGTCCACTTTGGTGGGAGTCATCAGTGAGCCCCAGCTTCTGCTCACAGACCCCTAGAGACAGAGAAGCCCTAGCAAGAAAGGTTGGAAGGGAAGGTGAAGAGGAAGATGGTTGTGAGATGCAGAGCGAATGGTGTGTGTGTGTGTGTGTGTGTGTGTGCGTATTGTGAGTTCTTTGGCTTTTTTTTCCCCTTCATTTTTAATATTCCTTAATGTTTGTGTTTTGCAAATTTCACTATATTTTTAAGGAGCAGGAGACACTTTGCAAACATTCTGGAATCATTTGGCCTTGGGGGAAAGAAAGCATTTGTTTTGGCCCCAGCTACTGCAGTAGGCGCGGTCTGTGGAAGTGCTCACTGCCAAGATAAAGGTGTTTGGGATTTTTTAAAACTGAGAAGCAAATATTTAGTGCATAGAAAGGTTTGATTGTTTTTCTAAATGAGTATTTAGGAGTGATCATAGCTGCGCTTACGATCGCCAACAGGCAGAATTGTGGAGATTTGATTGGAACAGGGAGGAGTGATTTATTTTTTTTTAAAAGGAAAAATAGAAGCCAGGATGCCTGTCCTTTCTTGAGTTAAATCTGGAGGCCAGGTCAGTGAGGACTGGGGCTCTGCCCCCCTCCCTGGCCTCTCATAAGGGCCTTGGGCCCAGCGTTGTGGACAGTGCCCCCCACCTGCCCTCCAGTACCCCACACTCCTTTGCTTACTCATTCCTTTTACCTTGAGGCCAACCACCAGCCAGAAAAAAGCCCTTGTGCTTCCACTGGGAGATCGCAGCTCCAAGTCTCCTGGGCCCGCGCAAACCAGCCCAGTGGGTGAAGGACCACCTCTGCCAGCCAGCATCACCCCAGAGAAGGGCGGGCTCAGATCTTCTAACAAGTTCAGTGACACGGAAAAAAAATCCAACTCTCCCTGGCTTTTATATGGTGACAAAGTTTTAAAAATACTCTTAACAGTCCATGGGCCAGGTAGCACCTCCCAGGTAGAACTCAGCCCATATCTCCGTCCCCGACCCTGTTCCAGGACTTGGCCCGTGTTTGGCCCCCTGCTGGGGTTGCCCTTCCCAGTGCTTCTCCAGCTACTGACTTCTCTGGGCTTCAAATGCTCCCTCTTCTGGGAAGGCTGCACTGGCTTCTTCCTGGGGCCTCAGCCCCAGCACCTGGCCCTGCCCCGAACAAGTCCGGAGATGGCTTTTTCTTAAACAAATGCAGAAGCAACTGAGGAGGAGGAGGAAAAGGAGAAGGAGGAGGAGGAGGAGGAAGAGGAGGAAGAGGAGGAGAAGGAGAGGAAGGAGGAGAAGGAGGAGGAG